AATAAACCAACGGCATAATTGTTATTTTTGGCATTATATTTATTATACTGTTCCTATTTTCACAAGCACAGTATTAAAACACAATAAAAAATTTCAAGATAATAGCCACAAAAGAAAAGTAGATTTTTTTTAATTTAACTATATTTTTTAATTTAACTATATAATTTGAGAACATATAAAAATGTAATAAAACTATCAAAATAAATTAAAAATAATTAAAACAACTGCAAGTATAAAAAAGATGTAAACTTGCCGCTGGTACTTAAATGCTGTTGTCACTAAAGATTACAAAAATGGTGTCTTTTCATGCTACCATTTAAACATATTTTAAGGAGATACAGCCTTATCTTTGCTACAAGATATCAATGCAATTAAAGACGACAAAATAGAAATGATAACAAGCAAAAAAACATCTTCAAAATGTTTTTGTCCAGGAGCTCTAAAAATATAAATAAGTTTATGAACTGCTAATAGGAAAAAGTTTAAGACTTTTAGGTAAAAGGAACAACCATTCTACGGCAACAAATCAACTGGAGGTGACCATATCAGCCTATTTGTGCTTAAAGAATGTGCCAATGCTGCTGCTCCACATTATTTTTCAAAAATCGTTAGATCAAGACGTAGTCCTAAAATCGTGGCTTTTGCAAACGTAATGCCACTGTTCAAAAAAGACTTTAGGCTCAACCCAGCAAATTATAGCACAATCTCTATCACTTCTGTACGATACAAAATAATATAAAAAATGGTGAAAGACAAGATCATGGAGCACCTTGTAGCTAACAAACTTATTGTCAATTGTAAACACGGATTCATCAATAAAAAAATCTGCGTCATCAATCTGCACAAGAACATGGACTTTCTAACCTACAGCGTATCTCATAAACTTCCTGTAGATGTGCTCTTTCTTGAATTTGCCAAAGCTTATAACAAAGTCTCTCACAGAAGACTGTTGCAAAAACTTGAATCCTATGGAATTGAATGTAAAACTCTTAACTAGATCAAAGCTTATCTTTCAAATAGATCACAATTCGTTCTTCTTGGAACACGTTACCAGTGGCATTACGCACAATTTAGTGCTTGATCCTACGCTCTTTAAATCTTCATTCACGACTTACCTGAACACTTTAGTAGTGAAAAATGTACTGTCTGTAAAATGTACGCAGACGATACTAAAATTCCAAGCGTCGTCAAAAACGCTGAAGATAAAATCTAGTCTGCAAGCTTTATATGGATAGGATTGTAACCTGGACTCAACGTCAAGAAGTGCAAGATTATGCACATCAACAAATGCAACGTTTTGCCATACGTTTACTCAATGAATGAGCATAACGCTAACAGCAAAGTCAGCAAAACAGAACTTGAGTCAGCAGCATCTGAAAATGATCTAGGCGTTTAAATTACTAACAACTTAATTAACTTTTCGCTGCCAGTTTCCTAGAAATCTTAAAGCACACCTTCATCAGCAGAGGCACAAAAATACTGAAAAAGCTTTACACAATCTATATACGTCCATATCTTTAGTTTTCAGTGACCACCTGGTGCTTGTACCTTGAAATAGACATAAATACCAGAACACATCCAGGATCGGACTACCAAGGTACCGCTAAAAAATAAAGTGCTTCTACTACGAGAAGAAATGCTTCAAACTTGGACTCACATCACTACGTGATAGACGTAAACCCGGCGATCTCATCCAAAAATACAAAATCGAGAACAAAATCAACTCAGTTAGCTGGTATATTGTTCCATTTAACACCTCACTAAGCTAAGGTCATCGCAACACTTTTATTGTGAAATGGCCTCGTTCAGTTTAACTTTTTCAACAACCGCGTCGCTTACCCATGAAACGCATTACCAAACGAAGTTGTCAGTGGTATTAGTGTCAACTGCTTCAAGGCAAAATTCGATTAGCTGTCATTATAATTACAACAGCGCATTATTTTCCGTGCAATCATGCACGAGCTAGCCCCACTAGCTGTTGATGGGCTTACGGAACACGCCCGATCCGTGTAATTTAGCTAACTATGAAATATTATATTTCATCAAAATAGATATTGCTTTGTAAAAATACGGATCTTGAAAAAGAAAGATTTTTATCTAAAGTTTGTTTTGCATAATATAAATTTTAAAATAATTAGTAATTATTGAATTATAATAAAAAAAAAAGATTGCAAAAAATATAAACTTAGCATTCAAAACAATATCTTAATAAATATTAAAATCATAAAGCATTGGTTTACCCCCGGTTGATAAAAATCTATATACCCAATATCTCTTGAAGTAAAAATTTTCAACATGTTTTTTTTATATTTTTTTGAACACTTGACTAATATACTCTTTTAATTTAAATAAATAAAAGAATTTTAATTTTTAATTTTTAATTATTTTTTTGTTCTAGTAACGGTTACCAATTACATCATACCACGTGACATAAAAATTAAGATTGACTTCCATTTTTTAAATCCTTGGCATACAAAAAACTCAAATCAACAAAAGGTTTGCTTTAACACGTATGTGCACACGAAGGTACGTAGTGGCCTGCACTACCTGTTTATAAAGTATATTAATAATTCATTTTAGCAAAATTATCAAAATAAAATGATAAATTATTTTACATAAAAGATTGCACTTTGAGGAACAAAAGCATATCTAAAGTTAAAATACGTTAAATCAAGGCTTAAAGCAAACCAATCATGAATAGAATGCAATAGCTTCTTTTCCATAAAGTTAGCATATGTGAAATAAAAGATGTTAATAAATTTACTTTTAAAATAAAAACAAGGAGCTAAAAATGTTTTCAACTTCTTATTGAGTTTGTTTTGTTTTGATTTTTTTTTTGTTTAAAATACGTCATACAAATAATGATTATTTTGGCAAATAAAACTAAATGCTATACTTTAAAATATCTTTTATTAAAAATTCTTTCCCAGAATCTTCAGTACTTTTTTAACTATTGCTTTGCTAAAAGAAACAAATTTTTAAATACTTTGATAAAGCAAATAAATTTTTCTATTACAGTTAATAAAAATATCAATCTATTTTTGCACAGTGATGGTAAAATTTAAACCACTTGTGTCACTTCAAATACGAAAAAGCAAAAAGTAACGCAGTAAACTAAACTCTTATAACGTTCATTTAGTCTTCCTCTGCTCAAAGAACTAATTTAAGCTTAATATTCTTAGAAATATTCAAAGGTATCGGTTTCTTTTAAAACCAATGCTATTCTCGATGATTAAGGCAATAAACCTGCAATATATATATATATATATATATATATATATATATATATATATATATATATATATATATATATATATATATATATATATATATATATATATATATATATATATATATATATATATATATATATATTATATATATATATATATATATATATATATATATATATATATATATATATATATATATAGACGTTTTTTTGCACGTCTTCGGCAATTCTTCACAACTTTCGCACGTGGATATATTACGTTTATCGTAGTGATAAACTAGATAAACTATAGAGTATAGTAGCAATTTATAGGAGGAAAGACTTGATCGCTTAGCAACTTTCTAGCTTTATTCATTTTAAACTATGTAAAAACATTTTGCACCGTTATCAGGTTTATGCCGCCTTACTCTAGTCGGTATTTCCTGTCGGTTCAATTGACTATAATCCACAATTTAACAACTGTTTAAATGAAAAGTTCTTTATCTTTTAGCTTATCCACGTAATGCAGCCACTGTTCGTCACAATTTTTTAAAGAACTAATCTTAAATAATCCTTTAATAAATTATTATGATGCAACTTTTTGCAAGGCCGGAGAAGGAGGGGGGGGGGGAGAGCTCTCAGCGGCTCTTTTTTGCGTTATGTTCCAAATATGACATGTTCACTGAATATGCTTAATAGGCACGAAAATGCAAAATTTGAAGTTTACACAATGACTAAATGTGCCAAATCTGAATAATCAAAAAATCCTGTGTCCCGCTTGGTAAGTAAGATCGGGAAAGTTCATTTGAAAATAATCATCTAGTTCACTTTTTTCTGCCGTATTTATGAGATCTTTTCAGAAGTGCTTTCTACGATCTCTAAAGGGGTCGTCCATAAATTACGTCACGCAATTTTTGACCGTTTCCTCCCCCCCCCCCTCGTCACAAAATCGTAACACTTAAGAAGCGAGTCGTCACAAAACCACCAAACCCCCTCCCCCTTATAGCGTGACGTAATTTATGGACGACCCCAAAACCGCATTTCTAAACTTTATATTGTGATTTTTACATAAAATATTTTTATAAATGCAACACCAAGAAAATTTTTATTATATCTAAACTTATTCTATTTAAAATCATATTGTCGATAAATTTATGGAATGGGATGGAATGATATTTGGCAACAAATATTTTTTGTAACAATAAAAAAAAACAAAAAACTTTTTATTCTATTAGTATTAACAGAATAAAAATATTAACACATAAGGGTTTAAGTTGCAAGTGATTATCAAACTTTTTAAAAATTGTTGAGTACTCATTTGAAAAACTGAACACTTCTTTATCACTATTATTTATATTACCTGCTTTTAAAAAAGTTTGTAATTTGCCGAATGAAGTTTCTCAGACTCAATCTTGAATAAGTTTTCGTACAAATGATTTTTACAGTTATACTTATCGATTATTTTTAGATTAATTTGAAAAATACTTTTTTACATTACTGAATTCATAGTCATAATTTAAATAGTTAAACTCGCCATTTATGATTTTGGCTTGATCAACTTGTTATATACATTCATGCTCATGCTCTCAATTAAATGGTATTTTAATGTTGAAGAAACGTTTAAGTAGCAATATTTATAATTTTTATCATTTATAAAACGCAAGTTTTACGTTTTACACACTTCAGAAAAAAATTTTAATTAGTCTTTTTATTATAAATTAATTTAATAAATATTTAAATAAATAATTAACTCATAATAATTTAAAAACTAAATAAATAGGAGTAGAAAAACGAGAAATAATCGAAATTGTCATTTTCATAACATTTTACAAACTTATGAACAAAAAAATGAATAATTATTGAACATTGTTTTGAAAATAAAAATAGGAAAATATACTATACTATATTTGGTTCTATTTTACAAGTTATTTCTGCTGTAGATAAATGTTTAATCGGCACTGGATTTGATAAAGTTTTTGAACTCTTTTTGTCAAGATTATTCGAGATATCATTAACTTTATTGACAATTTTGAAGTTGTCGGTAGAATGCGAGTATTGTTTTATTCTATGCGATTGTGAGGCTGAAAAATGTTTTACTTTCTGGTCTGGATTGTTATAAGGAGGTTTAAGCTGAAATGATGTTAAATTTATCTTGCAACTTTGATTGATTGGGATGTTAATCGATGAAGTAGATTTGGAAGAAGTAATAATCTGTGTGCAACCGCTTGATTTTACTATTGACGGAGTTGATGAGCTTTTTGGGCTTATTGACCACTGCGTGTTCGTTGAGTAGGAACTTTTTTCTCCTTTCTTTATCGGTGTAGAAGAAAAGAGATTTGCGGGAGTTGGTTTTATTGATATGTAAGATGCATTTGGACGCGCGGAGACTATTACTTTAGGAGAAAAGGATGGAACCGATAATCGCACTGAAGGTGACGCAAACGTCAGAGAATTTTTCTGTAAACTTTCTGATAAAGTCGAAACAATATGCTGCTTGACAGGATAAGAATAAGCAGTACGCCTCATTGATTCTAAATTAGACGAAGTGCCTCCAACTTTACTTTGAACGTAAGTTTTTTTTGGATTTACTCGCTGAAGAATTCCAGGTAACTGAGTCAGAAATGCTTTCTGAGTGGTGCCAAGTTTATTTGCAGCTTCGTTATCTTTTAACAAATCATTTAACTTAAATTCAGCGTCTATCTTGTAAGATCTTCCATTAATCACTATATCAGACCCTGCTAATGTGTCTAAAGAGGAATTAGTGTAATTAATTTTTGAGGACGCTGAAGAAGGTGACGAAGAAGACTGGACACACAAATATTTTCCATTACTTTTTGCAACAATTTCTTCCAAACTTTTTGTTTGATTTTTTAACTTAACGTTTGATGGCTTAGTTAAATCAACCACAACTTTATCTCTGTCTGGAGACTTCATTTTTTTTTCAAAGCTATTATTTGGGATTACATTCAAAAGTTTTCTCTTTAATGGATTCAAATTTTTTGCTGCAGTAATTTCCTGAAATACAAATGTTTAAAGTTTATAAATCAAAAATTTTATGTCAATCAAGAATAATAATAATAAATATAACAAATAACTAAAGCATGAAATAACACGTAATCTTTAGGTTTAAATAATAAAATAATTATTTGTTTTCAAATGAAACTTTTAATTGTTTGTAAAAATTGATGCAAAAGATAATGAAAATAATTTTGTATTTTTTTATAAGAATTTTTTTTTCTCGAAAACAAAACATCCCCTGAAAAATTTTATTAACCTTTAAAAAAGTCAACAATAAAAGTGATAAACAGCAAGAGTAAAACGACTGTGGATTTCACAAACATTTGTTATACAGCCTGACTTAAGATATATATAAGATTGATAGCTGGCTAGAATGATATTATTTTAAAGGAAGCTGGAGAAAAATAAAAAACAATTACAATAAAAAAATTTTATTTTTGAAGTTATGAAAATTATTTGATGTGCTTCATGCTACTAACATCACAATTTAAGGCGCCACTTTTTATGTCCATTTTATCAGTTTTATTAATCAGTTATTTTTATTTGCAATCTGCATATATACTTTTTATCTAATAACAATTAATTTTCAATTTTATGTATACCATTGCAGCGCTTTTTGTTGATTAGCAAACATTTCTTTGACTTATTGAAAAAATGAAAACTTCTAATATATGTAAAAATTAACTTAAAATATTTTATATAACCATTGTTTACATTTAATCATATTACAGTTAATTCCTGGTAAGTCGAACACCAATTAACTCAAACTGTTTCTTTTGGTCCCTTGAAACTGTCTAATTGATTACTATAAAAATAATAATAAACAACAGCCTAATATTTTCTCTATTTTTTTGTTGCATTTAGATCTGAATAGAATATCTATTTTATAAATAATATACATAATAACATATTTTTTTTTTATTTGTTATTATTTAGGTGCCCCAAGAAGTCCTAACAGTCTTGTCACAGAGCACCGCGGAAGTGCATTTAACCAGGAAGTTCACGCCTCTTTCCTTACCGTAACGCGAAATATGCCCAAAGCTTGTTTCGAACCTGGATCTCCTGCTTATAAAGCAAGTGCTCTAACCACTGCGCCACGGCCACTGAATCATTATAAAATTAATTTTTTCAATGGTTTTAATGGCAATTCTTAATAAAAGATTGCTAGCATTTAGACACTTTTATTACTAAATGTTAAGAAAGCCATTGTGTTGCTAAACTTTTACTCGGGAATTGTTGTATTTGTATATATATATATATATATATATATATATATATATATATATATATATATATATATATATATATATATATATTTATATATATATATAAACCATTTTCTTTGTCTATATATTTTTGTTTATATTTAACTTATATAACTTATTTAACTATATATTTTGTTTATATATAACCATATATATATATATATATATATATATATATATATATATATATATATATATATATATATATATATATATATATATATATATATATATATATATATATATATATATATACACACACACATATATATATACATAATTATATAATATATATCAGGACCTATTCTAGGAAAAAAATTGGGTGGCTGTTCCCCCTTGTTCTGGCAAACTTTAGCAGAAAATCGTTTTTTTTTTCACAAATAAAAAATATAAATATATTTGCTGTAAAAAAACGTAAAAAAAAAAAATCCTCAAATTTTAATTTGGGGGGTGTCCAAATGTGGTTGAAGCAATGGAAAACGATCTAGAATAGCTCCTGTATATATCAGCCCTCAGAATTAGGAAAAATGAGGTCGGCAATAAATCGCTGACCTTAAACTATTAGAGGTTGGCAAAAATATTTCAATACAAAAGTTTTATTATAAAACATAGAAATGAAAACAGCAATTTTTTGTTGACCTCAAACACTTTTAGGTTGGCATTGCCAAATGCCAACCCTAATTCTGATAGTTAATATATATATATATATATATATATATATATATATATATATATATATATATATATATATATATATATATATATATATATATATATATATTACTTTAAAAAATACTTGCACACAATATTGACAAATAAATTAGCTTTGGTTAAGATAAAAAGTTTTTCATGTTTCTTTTAAATTTTGTTTTTGTCTATTCTCTATAATACATTAATAAAGATGATGTAGAACTGTATAATAATAATTTTTTACTTTTATAGTTTTTACCCATTATGAGCAAGGCTAACAAAAAGTGACCTTACATGGAGCACAGTATATGTAGAAAAAAAAAAATACAAAAAAATCATTGATAGAATAAAAAGAACCAGATTTTAAATTTTTAATAAAGTAGAATGAATTGCATATTGGAGATAAGATAAAATGGACTGCATAGTGGTGATAAAGTAGAATAGATTCCATAGTGTTGATAAAGTAAAATGGATTGCATAGTGGTGATAAAGCAGAATGAGTAAAATAAAGTAAAATAGATTCCATAGTGTTTTGATAAAGTAAAATGGATTGTATAGTGGTGATAAAGAGTGCAATCGGTTAATGATCAACTTATGAAGTTAACAACAGTTAAGACTTATTTGCATTTTCATATGACATTAAAAAACTGGAAAAACAGAATAAAGTATACAAACAATATACACTTTATATTCTTGTATATAAAGTATATATACAAAACTGACATGACGTTCAGATTAGTAAAAAACACATTTGTTTTTAGAGATAAATTAAATTGCAGAATCCTCAACAAACATCCAAATCAAGAATAGGCAATTGCAGCATAGAATCATTACTTATTAAAAAAGGATAAAAACTCAATAGATTAGGTTATAAGTAAGGTTTGTCTAAAATCTGATTGTAATTTTAATGGGATGTCATTATTTATACTTTCTAAATTTAAATAATTAACAAATGAACTCTTAAAATATTGTTAGCAGTTTACATCTTAGCAATTTTTGTTTGATAATTATGGTAGTGGAATAATGGCAGGCTGGTTGTTTACATCTCAGCAAATTTTGTTTGATAATTATGGTAGTGAAGTAATGGCAGACTGCTCGATTAGTAAGCTAAAAGTACCAATTACTGCTAATTTATTTCTTCCTGCAGTGGCTTTTTTAGTCAAAGTTAGTGTATCTTATGTAAATTTTTTGTATCAACTGTTTGATGCAGTGTCAACTGTTAGACTATTTAATCATATGTATATTGCAATTAAACAAAACAAAATTTTTTTATTTGTATCTAGTACAGACTTAAGTACACAAAAATGAAAAACTTACCTCTGAGTTGATGTGCCAATTGGTTGTGGTTTTGAACTTCTCAAAGTTTTTATCCTTTTTCATTACTTCATACAAATTTTTGTCAGCACACTCTTTGCATTGGACAACACCAGACTTAATACAAAAAAATTTAATTGTATAGTTTTTTATCAAAAATTTAATGCAAACTTCTAATAACTTGTAAGGGGTCGTCCATAAATTACATCACACAGTTTTTGACATTTTTTGACCCCCTCCCTCCCCCCTCGTAATGCATTCGTAACACTTTATTGACCCCCCTCCCTAATATAACACAACAAATTTGTACCCCCCCTCCCCTCCTAAACAAATTTTTTTTTAAGTTTTTTTAGAGAGGATAGGAGGGGTGCAAACTTTTACAAAATACAAAACAATTTTTAATATAATAATGTCTATAATTCTCTGAGCTTCTTTGAGCTAATTAACTAGTACTTTTTAGTCTGTTTAATGTTTTTTTTTCACCCCAGTAGTTCCATGTAAAATTGTATAAATTAACATCCCTCTCCTAAACATGATACCAATTTTTAAAATCTATTTTTCCGATATATAATATATGCAAAATAATATATATATATAAAATATATAATTAATACTAACATATTATACATGCAAAAATAATAATTTATATATACAATTTTCTTCGAACTAGCAACATAAGCGTGGTCGAGTGGTATACTAGTCTCTGTATACTAGTCTGCCTCCGACTAGTATACAGAGGATTCAAGGTTCGTTTCTCGGTATCGAAAAGTTTTTTTTTTTTAGTTATTGCACAAAGATTGTTTTTTTGTTGCTGCACACCTTTGTGCACCAACTACATAAAGTTCTGCACTTGAACCATATAAATTCAAAGCGCAGAACGTGCACTGCACAAACAGCTGTAACAGTTCTATAACAGGCTGTAACGGGGTGTACACATCGACTAAGTAAGATTTAGGCATAGTTAGTATTATAATCAACATATAGATACATCAACTGAGGGTTTTGGTTTGGTCAGATACTCTTTTAATTAAAAGAACGCCTTCTCTAAAAAAAAAAAAATGTTGCGTCACAAAATCGCCCACCCCCCCCCAAGCGTGACATAATTCATGGACGACCCCTAACACAAAATATTATAATATTTTCAAAAGCAACCCCCCCCCCCCCCGCAAAAAAAAAAAAACCCAAAAAAAGCTACCTTTCTAACAGTTTCATGACCATTTGTCAATTTGTAAGCTTGAAAACTTTTGAATACTTTTTTACAAGTAACACAAGTTTCAAAAAGCTGAACATCTATAAATTAACACTGAAATTAAATTAAAAATTTTAAACTAAACTAGACAGTTTAAAGCTATAATAAAATAATTGTAATGTAATCTGTTAAAAATTTAAGATTGTTATTTATTTATATTATGATATTAACAATACAAATTTCATTTATACCATTTAAATACAAATAAAACAATTACTTTTCAGTGTAGTTGAAGAGGCATCCTTTTTATAAAATTCAAGATTGTTTTCATCAGATAATTCATCTTTTGATTTCTTCAAATCAACCTGTTTTTCAGACGCTTTCCATTCACTTTCATTTTCTAACTTTTTGTGTAAAAACATGTCAAGATTTCGTTTTCTTAATCTATAAGAAAAACTTGCTGACTTTGCTTTTCTTTGCTGCAAATAGTTTGGAATATGTTCATTTTTTAATGATAAACCCCATCTGTTGTATAGTGATGACCGAGATGCATTATAAATAAAGTGTCCTTTTTGCTGAATAATAGGTGTAACCAAACTGCAAACTCCAGCATACAAAAAGACTTGATTTTTATCGTTACCTAGTAATTTTTTTTTCTCATAGTCTAAACTTTCAACCAATCTGTAATCACCTTTAGCTAAAACCTTAGTAGAACTATCAACATCAACTATATTATTAGCTTTATTATCAATGACTAAAGTAATATTATCTTCAATGTTTTCAAGTAAATTTGTAATGATGTTTTGTGGGGTTTCATTAGTTTTAGTGTTCTGTAGTAGCTCTTCAATTTGAACAGCTTTATCTGTAGCACAGACAACTTTTTCAACTAACTCACTAAGGGTATCATGGACTAATGCTTTCACATTAAAAGTTTGTTTTTCTCTTAAATGAGGAGAAATCACAATAGGTATATCATCAATAAATGATGGAAAAAGTATCAAATTTAGGATATCTTTAGAATCATTCACATTAACTATTGGAGGTTTTCTTGAAATCAAAATCAAATCATTTTTAAAATCCATAGAAGATTCTGCTTCCTCATCACTCATATCACTCAAATCCGAAAGACAAGAAATTTTGTAGGTAATTGGTCGTTTAGATGATTTATTAGAACATATATCTTTTCTAACAAAGTACCAAGAATTTGAAGCCCTTGTAGAAGTCATTCCATTTGGAAGATATTCAGTTAAAGAAGGTACCTCTTTTTTTTGTATTTTTTTCCCACTGATTTGAAAACCACCATGTTCATTTAAACATGTTTTGCAAACCTAAAACCAGGAAATTAACTAAACAAACTTTGATAAAAGAGGAAAAAAATAAGTATGCAATATATACAGCACAGTGCTATAAAATAAGTTCTAACCTTAACTTTCCTACCCCGGAAAACTGTTTGGTAGAATGATAGCCCTTATAATAGTGATTACTTAGATATAAGTATCAAAATCAGATTACAATGACCTAGTAAGTTATTTACATTTGAATTTTTATCCCAGTTAACACAAAACGTGTTTTAAACGTTTAATACATGTATTAATACGTGTTTAAACGTATTATAAACATATTAAATTTGTCTTGTGTTTAATATAATATTTTATTGATTGCACAAGCATGCAAAATGAGAGCTTATTATTTTTTTTATAGTATTAAAAATCTCCAATTTACATCAATATAAACAAGGAAAATTATAGCCATAAGATGTTCATCAAAAATCACATTGTAAAGGTTGGAATTGACGGAGGTGGGTTTCTGAAAGTTAACCTGGGAATTATTGAACTAAATCATGAACCTAGCATTCCCCCAGCAAAACTCAACTGCACAAGCAAGATTTTTAAGGGCAATGGTGTAAAACAACAACTCGTCATTGCTATCTCTGAGGAGCTTCATGAAATTTATACTAACATTTTGCAAGTATTTGAGTTAATTAAATTGAAAATTTGAAGTTTCTTCCTCCTATGAAACTGTATCTCCTAATTGGAGCTTTTAATCATCTTTTTGCTGGGCTACATCAAGTTTTTCCTCAACTCTTTAGACTGATGCATTACACATGAAACAACCTTACCATGGTAGACATTTTGCAGGAAATGAGTCCAGAAAGCTGCTATGCAATATTGATATTCTTCAATCAATTGCTGAGAAACACTCATACTATGCAGCCATACCATTCATTGATGCTTTTCAAAAGTTCAATGCGGTAGTGTCTTGCTGTTTTGGATGTAACCTTAATCCAAACTACCCACAAATAATTGAAGCATTCAGAGTGTCTTATCTGGCATTGCAAAATATGTTTGTAACACCCAAGATCCATGCAGTATTTTTTCATGTAAAAGATTTTATTGATAGACATGGTCAAGCTCTTAGGCTTTACTCAGAACATGCAACAGAAGCAATGCAAAACAACTTTCAGATACATTGGTAAAGATACAAAAGGCCCAATCATCATTAAGAGAACAGTTAAAAGTTGCAATGTTGCATTTTTGACTTCAATAGCAAACATTGTTTGTGAAAAGTCATTTTAAAAAGAGATTTATGAATGAATTATTTTTCAATTCGTTCCATTTAAAAGAAACAGTTTTTTTGTAAATATATTTTGTTTGTTACTTGTATAACTTCAAGAATACATTATTTTTGTCTTTTAACTGGGATGAAAATTCAAACTTGCCAGGACTTTGTAATCTGATTTTGATACTTATATCCAAGTGATCACCATAGTAAGGACTATCATTTCACCAAAGAGTTTTTTCGGGTCAAAAAGTTACGGTTAGAACCTATTTTATAACACTGTGACAGGGCTCAAAAAAAATTATATATGACTATTGAGCAATTTGCCCGGCAGTTCTTCAGTTGGATCAGTTATAACCAAATAAAAAAATCAGCTTTTTCGCACCCGCAAATACTTTGCCAAGCACTTGAAAAAACGCTTACTAAAAAAATAACAGTATTTTTTAAATTGCTAAAAATCTTTTTTGTTTATTAAATATTTCAATGAAAATTTGTGATAACGCTTTTAGGTAAAAATTATTTTATTATAAAAAAATTTTATTAAGAATTTAAACAAAATGTTCATTTTGCTATTTTCATTTTAGTTATTGACAATTTTAATTTTAAACTTTTTTTTTAATTTTACAATTATTTTATTTAAAACTTAAATCAAACACTTTTTGTTGCCGTTTTTATTTGTTGTTTAAAATAAATTAAAAAAATGTTTGTTTTGTCATTTTTATTTTAATTACTTCATATAAAATTTATCTAAGCCAACTTTTTTCTCTTTTATTTTTTAAATTTAAATAGCAATTAAAAATTAATTTTTATAATCATGCATATTAGCCTAAAAATAACCATCAGGCCAGCACATTAAATTTAATAAAAACTGCACAAAATGATTGAATTAATACATAAGAACAGAACACAATTGACTTCTAATTTAGCCTACTTAATTGTAGAGCCCCCTTTACCATTGGCTAGGTGAATATTGTTTTAAAAAGAGCAATACAAACTTAAGAATTTGTTTCAGTACCAAAAGACAACAAATAAAAAATATAAACCTTTATGTTTGTACATTTGTCTTTTAAATTTGTTTGAACTTCAGTATCAGGAATAGAAAATAATTTAAATACTATATGACCACAATTATCACAAGATGAAGACCCCTCATATCTTTTTTGCCGCAGAAGATAACCTAAAAAAATATTTATTTTTTACATTTTGGTTTACAAAGAAAACAAAGTTGCATACTTCAACAATGCTACCTCTGCATGAAATTTTGGCCCCATTTCCAGGTTCAACTTCTATGGTGTTTGTGATCTGTCTATCTTCTAACAAAAATGGACACACAACACTTTTAAGGTAGTCCTTAAAATATGAAAATATTGTAAAATCATAGACATAAATATATAAATATTATTCAACTATAAGTATAAAATATTCAATAAAAAAATTATCAAAAAAAATTATTAAAAAAACTATCAATCTGATTGTATGATTAGATTCACAGTTTAATCTAAGCTTAATGAATTAGTATTCCCAGTGTTATTTAGTAGCAGCTTGAAACTCTTTACAACAACAACCGATTGAAATAAAAACTTAAAAATATAATAATAAACTTTCAATCCAATGTATTCTTTTATCTCAAAAAAGAAAAACAAGATAAAATGTACTATTACAGGCACCGCAATGTTTAGATGTCAATGACTGCTAAAAATGCAATATTACGAAGTCATATTGTGGACAAATTTGAGTAAACCATAATATTAATGTCACCACAGGAAAAGGGTTAAAAAGATGAAAATCAACTTATGTATAAATTTTAATAGTAGGCTGGTAGCAATTGAGAGAAATTGTATTATGTTTGGTATATTTTTATGTAAAGTAAAAGTTAGAAAAGTTTATTATAGCAACAATTAACTTTTAATAATTTAAATATTTGCAAATTCAAAAAAAAAAAAATTTGAATTTGCAAATATTTAGATTATTAAAAGAAATTCTTTCAAATGAGTTCAAACTTTTTGATTGTTGTAGCCATATATATTTGTTTCACCTTGTTGAAATAAAATAAGTTTTTCTTTCTTTACATACTTTCATATTATTATTAAAAGATATTTTTTACCTCAAACCATGAACATACAAACTATCTTTTATTTATCCAAGATCAACCAAAAGCATTATAAAAAAACCTGGCAAATTTATAAAACTATTTTTTAATTAACAAAACAGTATGAATGCAAAATCAAATTTAACTATTTAAGTAACTAATATTAGCCAATAATAATAATAATAATAATAATAATAATAATAATAATAATAATAATAATAATAATAATAATAGATTATTAACTATTATTAAACAGTTTTAAATATTTATTTACGTGCTCAAGGCTCAAAATAAGGATACAGTAAATAAAATAAAGAGGATAAAATAATTAAAATGCACTAAATATAAACAAAAATGGTGCCATAAATATAACTCTGCTTTCCATTTATTTATCAATGAATATTGTAAACTTGAACCTGTTCAAGTTTACAATAGATTTTATAATGAGCAAAAATAATAAAGAAGTGTATTGATGCTTACAAATAACAAACTAACTGGGTAGCTACCATGCCATAATTATATGCAACATGTACACAATGGAATGAGTCTTTTTGCAGAAGGTACCAAAGCTAACAACCATAAATGACTGCAAATCAAGACTATCAAGACTATGCAAACTTGTCAGAATTAATAATTATTTCTGCATTATGGATAATTTAACATCAAATCTTAAGATTATGCAAAAGTAAAAAAAAAAAATAACTAGCTTTGAATAAGAAAGTTAGAAACTTTTAGAAAATAAATTAATTTTTAAGTGATATATATATATATATATATATATATATATATATATATATATATATATATATATATCACTTAAAAATTAAATTATTTTTTAAAAAGTTTATATATATATTATGTATATTATATATATATATATTATATATATATATATATATATATATATATATATATATATATATATATATATATATATATATATATATATGTATATATATATATATGTATATATATATATATATATATATATATATATATATATATATATATATTATATGTATATGTATATATATATATATATATATATATATATATATATACATATATATATATATATATATATATATATATATATATAATATATATATATATATATAATATATATATATATATATATATATATATATATATATATATATATATATATATATATATATATATTGCTAGAACAACCTGGCTGTTTATAGATATGTTTTTTTACTATATATAGAAAAAATATATATTAAAAAAATATATCTATATGATTATATATGCTTATAATAAAACCTAATATTAAATATAATTGCTTCGTGATAGTACGATATATTTATGCAAAATTGATTACGACAGAGATTATATTACAAAAAGGGAAATAAGGGTAAACGAATTTCCGTTTGAGATAAAACCTCCAGCTGTCTTAATACATAACCGGTTTTTAAAGAAAACAACACGGGATTTCATTCATCTTGTTAGCAGTTTAGTAGTTTCGACGCCCGGTACAAGATTCATACACGGAATAAAAAACAAAGTTTAACAAGTAGTACATGTTCGGAAAACTTAAAGCCGTTTACCTTATTATAAATCGATTTGATTTCTTCCAGCGCAATTACTCCTTCAGTATGTAGTCGATTTACAACTGATAGCAATTTGTCTCTAAAAAACAATTATAATTTTAACTTTATTATCTACTAACTTATTTACTCAACTATCTATTTACTAGATTTGATACAACGATAACATGCGCGACGATATTTGGCGCCCGGTAAAAAAAATGGAAGCCAAAGACGCATTTATACCTAAAAACTAGCTTTAACTAACAAAATTAATATAGTAGGTCAATGTTAATATAATAAATCAACGAATAATAAACAAAATACCTTTTTCTGACATACGCATTCATTTATTAAACTAACTTGATTTTTTTTTAAAATAAATAAAACTTCCCCGCCGTCGGTTGTAAATGAAGAAAATTTTATAAACATGCATGAAAAGTCTGGGGACAAGATAAACAACAACTCTAAAGTTGCGACTTGTTCAAAGTAGCAACTATAAACAGTAAAAACAAAGTTTTTTTTTAAATTTATATATTTATAAAATTAATAATTTCGATATTTACCATAATTTAATATTGATATTTAATATGATATAAATTGTATTTAAAATTCAATTACTACTAGTTAAAATCATTTCTACTTCAATTACTACTAAAAAAAAATTTTGTAAAAAACTATTAGTAGTAAATAATTTAATTAGTTGTAATACTACTAATAAAATTATATACATTAGTTATGTAATATTTATTGTTATCACCAAAATATTTTTACTAATAGTATAAACTAATTATAAAATACTATTAGTGTAAATTTGACTGAAAATTTGTGATTTTTTTTTATTTTTGAATGAAGTTTTGAAATAAAATTTACGATAATTTTATTCTAGTTTTTTTTTAAATTTATTTAGTAAAAAATCATTTAATATTACTATTATTATTATTATTATTATTATTATTATTATTATTATTATTATTATTATTATTATTATTATTATTGTTATTATTATTATTATTATTATTATTATTCAGTAATAAAAGTAATAATTGTAACAAATTTCTATTAAATTAATAATACTAAATAATAACAATGAATTATTTTTATTATTAACAATAATACTGTTGTTATTGTTGCTGTATGCCTCATACAATAATACATTAATGTATAGTGTATGATTGTTTAAGTATTAGTAGTACACACTTACTCTCACAAGCACACACATTAAGCTAAGACACCATGAGTGTTTGCTTTATATATGGTAAGGTACTCATCATAAAAAAAACTGTTGACAAAGCACCATTAATGTATTAAAATTTTTTTTATGTTTATTATTGTAGTTGTTATTAGTAATTTAAAATTTATTCAATCCAAAACCAATTGTTTTTGATGTGAATAAAAACCGCCTGTTTTTTTATTTGAAAAGTTATTTTATATATATATATGTATATATATATATATATATATATATATATATATATATATATATATATATATATATATATATATATATATATATATATATATATATTTTTTTTTTTGATGTTTTTTTTTTGTTGTTTTTTTTTGTAGAAAAAAAGCTTTAGGAACTCATCTGCATTTTTCTTTATATGTCAAAAATGAAGCATAAATTAGGTACTAAATTTTCTTGGTACTTAGGTACTTCTTTCCTTGCTTTTAGTGTCCACAGCTAAATTTAGTGTATTTAGCTGTGGACACTGTGTGTCCCTCATTTGTGTTTCAGAGTTGAAAGTTGGTTGTAACCACAATGAAATAGTCTCCTTGACTGTAGTGACTTTCTTGGCCTTGAGGAGGTGATTAATTTAAATAATTAATTAGTAATTATGTAAAAATTATTTCAGTTTCTCCATTGTCAGCTGATTATTATTTTCTGGCCAATATTTTATTATCTGTTTTATAATTTGAATCTGTTGTTATTTAAAATATATATATATATATATATATATATATATATATATATATATATATATATATATATATATATATATATATATATATATATATATATATATATATAAATGAGAAGGCTTGTTATATATATATATATATATATATATATATATATATATATATATATATATATATATATATATATATATATATATATATATATATATAAATGAGAAGGCTTGTTTATATATATATATATATATATATATATATATATATATATATATATATATATATATATATATATATATATATATCCCTGGTAGTACTGCACTCAATTTGTTTCTATGCGCAGCAGCCTTGTTCGTCAATGTTTATGTTTCGGAGTTATAGAGTTGAGAGAGGGTAATAACCACTATTAAGTAGCCTCCTCATCTGTAGTGGCCTTCTCGGCCTTGAGGAGATAAATAACATTTGGGAAAAAAATTTGGGCGTCGGTACCCCTTCCATCCCAGAGAAATTTAGCAGAAATATTGCTGAACAATGGCATTTTTTGCAAAAGAAACAATATTTGCTATAAAAATGTAAAAAAAAAAAAAAAAAAAAACTTTTCAATTTTTAATTTGAGTGGCACCCAAATACAGTCGACGCTATTGAAAACGGTCTAGAATAGCCCCTGGTGACCACACGCTTCTTCTGAGAAAGCTTGATATATATATTTAACATACGCAATAGCAGTTATTTATATATAAGTTAGTTTTTTTATCAAAGAATGTTTTAGAAAACCTTTGGTTTGACTTTTTTTAGGAATTTATATTTAAAAATAAAGTATGTATTATTTGTAAAAAATACTAGTATTTATAATATATGGCAACATACAATTTGGATCAAACTAGTTTTCCACTTTATTCACTTCAATCAATCAATGATGAACTATTCATTACGTGTGGTGGTGGTGGGGCAGCAAAGACTGGAGTTAAAAATTCTATAGTAAGTTTTTTTTTTTTTTAAAGATTTTTATAATGAATATTGATTTTAATTAAACTTTTTGAAAATGAAGAATTTTGAAAGCTGTACGAGTAACAACGGATGCTCAATTTCCTTATGAGAAAGTGGAAAGTATTTAAATAATCCATGTTTTCATTGTGAAAAATAAGTTTTTTCATTTATACAATTTATTTGACAATTTTATGAGTTTCTAACTTTCTAGGAAGTGAAAATAGATTCAATACGATCTGTTTCCAATTTCTTTTTTTTTTTAGGTTTTTACATGATATTAAAAGTATAATATTATAATTAGTTAGTTAGTTAGTTCATTTAAGTTACACAAAGCCACAGCCTTGTTAAACTCATCATCAGCTGAGTATACGCATCTATACCCTACTTGTATTTTGGCCACTTTTGTGTGGCATTTACAGTAAATGATGAGTTGTAGCAACTATGATAACTGAAAACTGTCTAGTAGTTGTTTAAATTTATCAAGTGATGTTGCCTCGATGACATTATCTGGCAAAGCATTCCAGTCATTGACTACACGTTTGTTAAAAAACTTATGTCTGATTTCGCAGTTCCTGACAATCTCGCGATGAAATCTGATTCAATGTTGAGCTCTAGGTGCTATGCTGCCAGGCATTACGTGCCAATCAATTAGGTTTAAATTGTTGAGAAGCTTATATTTTTGAATAAGATCACCTCTTTTCCGTCTGTCTTCAAGATTAGTTAATTTCATGATTTTACATCGAGTTTTGTAGTCTTTATTTTTCAAAGCGTGAGGAACTTTTGTTGCGTTGCGTTGTACCTTTTCAATTTTTTTTATGTCACTATCAAGGTAAGGGTTACAGGCTTGTAAGGCAAACTCCAGATGTGGTCTAATATATGCTAACTCCAGATGTGGTCTAATATATAATTAATTAAATTTGATCTTACTTTCCTACACTTTTCAATCACTTCCCATTGGAAAGTCATAAAAAAATTATGAAATTAATATCTTTGATTACGATGTATAATATCAATAAATTATGAAATTATTATTATTATTATTGTTATTGTTATTATTATTACTATTGTGATTAGCCTGTTTACAGCTATTTAAAATCAGTGTAAAAAATAGTACATAACATTTCACATTTTTTTATAAACATTCTTTTTCTTTTAAAAGCTTCACAATTTGATTCTTGAATTCCATTTTGTCAAGCAATTTAAATTCACTTGGCAATTTGTTGTACAATTTTATCCCATAACAAAAGATAGACTTTTGTCCGCTTTTCTTGTTCTGGTTTTTTAAGTGATAATTATTTGCATTTCTAGTAAGACAATCGTGTACTTCATTGTTTTTTATTCAAAAATTTTAACATTCATTTTCTGTAGTTGAATAGTATTGTGTATAAATATAGATACTTTCATTTGAATACTTTCTTTTGCAGATTAATCTAGTCAACATATCATTACTATGTGTAAACCAGTCACATTTAAAGATTGTTCTAATAGCTTTTTTAAATAACTTTTGCAGCATTTGAATATCATTTTGCATAAAAGAATAATGATGCAAAATATCTAAAATAAGGTGCGATAATTATATTAAAAATTATTGTTTTGGCCCACCTAGTCAGATACCAAGCAATTTTTATAAGATAACTAGTCATCTTAGTGTGCAAGGCAGAGTTGTTAGCAAGGCCAAAAGTAGCAAGGTCAAGGCCACATGTTACAAGGCCAAAAGTAAAAAGGCCAAGTCCAAGAGTTTTAAGGTCAAGGCCAAGAATAAGAGTTTCAAGGCCAAGGCCTACGCAAACATTTTCAAAACCAAAGACTTAAATTTTTGCCTTATGTTATTAGGTTTTTAGGCTAATTATCAAAAAATCTGTAGGTAACAATTGAAGTGACAATAAAACCAGATGTTGTAAAAATAAACCAAGGTTATGTGCAGAATTCAACAAGTCAATAAGAAAATATACTTGTAGATATATATGAAAGCCGAAAACAAAAGTACATAAAAATAAAGAATGAAAACTTTTAATTCTTTAATTTTATGTATTTTTTTTTTAAAGGCCAAGCTCAAAACAATCAAGGCCAAGGCCAAGACAATCAAGGCCAAGATCAAGGTCAAGGCGAACAGCTTCAAGGTCAAGGCCAAGGCCTTAATTTTTGGGCTTAAGGCACGGCCAAGGCCAAGGACTAACAACTCTGGTGCAAAGTGGTCACATGGATGGTTAGAGTTATTTTCTTTATCAAACCAACAACAATACTTACAAGTAGGTTCATCATGTTTGCAATATTTTGAAATATGTCCATAGCATTGACAGTTGTAACACAAAATTACGTTTATATTATTACGAATATGAACTACTTGCCATTTCACAGATTCTTGAAATTTCTTTTCTCTTTCAAGTAATTTCATCTACATCAGTTCACTAGTTTTCTCTTAACATTATTTTGGGTAGCATCAGGTACATGTAATAGGATTTCATTTTATTAACAATTTCCTTCTCGAGTTCATTATTTTTTAGGTTCATTATTTTTACAAACATCTCTAATCTTCTGAGTTTTGTACTTTTATCTTGATAATTATGTATGACCACTTTGTCACTAATTTCTTCATTAAGATGTTCAGCTAATTTTTTCATAATTTAATGTTTTACACACAGTATAACTATTTCAGTTATGCTGTGTCTCCATTTAGTTTTTTCTTAATTTTATGAACATCACTTTTTACCTGTTTATTTTTTACATTATCAGTTACAAGTTGGATTGTATCATACTTCTTGGAGTGTTTCAACACACTTGGAGAAATTTGCCTTATAACCATTTTACAATAATATTTAATTTTTTCCTTTTTATTTAATTCATTCCATAGTATTCCTTCATCATCATCCAAGGTAGTCTGTACTACTTTTCTGTTTTTTTTATTAACAGAATGACATAAGAAGTATGATGTTATCTGACTCTACAGAGACTTTGCTGAGTTGTTTATTTACTTGGCATTGTAATTTAGTATTAATCACTAACGTAGATTTTATTTTATCGTTTAGTTTTATATTTTGGTTTTGTAAATACAATAATAATTTGTTGTTATTGTCATTTATTTTACTCTTGTTTAGATTCTTTTGGATTTTTTTTTAACATTTTATTATTTTTACATTTATTACAAAACCATTTTAAGTTAATGGAACAATCTAGTTCATAGATAAATTTAAATTCATTATCTGTCAAATGAGAACATTCCTTGTGAGACCAAGTAGCACACACTCCCTCACATTTGATGAACTTGTGATTTTCTTCAATTATTTCATCACGCTCATTTCATTTGTATATGATGCTTTGTTTACTATCATTATTCTGTCTATCGATTGGTATGGTTGCGATTTTGTTTAGATTCTTCATGTTTCTTATGTTTGGTTTACTCATATTGATTTTTATTTTTTATTTTGATGTTTTTTTTTTACACTTGAGCTTTGATACAGTGATTCAAATCAATCCCAACACACTAGAATTAGTTTTAGTTGGTTTGATTTGGTTACTTAGTAACTGTTATAAACTATATTTATAGTTTGGTTTGGTGACTTTAATACTGCTAGCAGATGAAATTAATTGTAAATTTTACCAATTTAGTTGACAAGTTTGAAGTTAAAAGTTGACATGTTAAGCATTTTTTTATGTGCTATAGCATGTGTCATTTTTTATGTACTACAGTGTCATGTTTTAATGTTAGGAATTTGTTAGAAGTTTGATTTTCAATTATTTTTTATAGATAAAAATGTAATGCAATTATTTATAAATTTGGTAATTTCTTATCGTTTTTACAATAAAAATTTGGCACAAAAAGAATACTGTTGTGTCAATATTGCTATCATATGCTATATAGAATCGTTGTATAGAAGTTTTCCTTTATAAATTAGAATATATACAAGTTGCAGAGAGAAGGTAGTTTGTTCAAAGCCTTGCTCATTCATGAAGAAAGTTGTGGATCTCGTGCTCCCATGAACTTATGTTTAAACTCCAATCGTAATTTGTTAGCTGTTGGAATGGATCATTTATGTCAGATTTATTCTTTAAAAAAAGACAAAGAAAAGATCTTCATGAAAGGTAATTAAATTTTTTAACTGTTTGAGTTTTTTAACTGGTTGTGGTTTTTTGGTTTTCACAAAAATATTTATTCAGTTTTTGCATTTTGTTTTAATAAACAATTAAAAATTTAAAATGCAGTTAATAGCATAAATTGAAACAATAATGACAAAGAAGTCCACTTAATAGCTAGTTAAAAGCTGCTCATTATAAAAGATGAATCTTAGGCCTTTATTAAAATATTTACTATTTTTGAAAATCACTTGGAAAATGAAAAAACTCTAAAAGTTTGCTTCATTACAATACTATACAATATAATTACAATATAGTTATTTCTTTTTTTTTATTTTCTTGATATTATTATTCAAAGTTCTTTATTTTTTTTATTTCCTGGTTTTCTTTTGATAGATCAAATCTCTTTATATTACCAGAAAACAAATTCAACTGAAGATCAGACAACACCAGTTAATTTTGAAATGTCAACTTGTGATAAAGAATGATTTTAACACCATAACAACCAATATTTAACACTATTACAACCAATACTTAACATTATAACAACCAATATTTAACACTATACTTAACATTATAACAACCAATACTTGACACTATAACAACCAATACTTGACATTATAACAACCAGTACTTAACACTATAATAACCAATACTTAACACTATAACAACCAATACTTAACATTATAACAACCAATATTTAACACTATAACAACCAATACTTGACATTATAACAACTGATACTTAACACTATACCAACCAATATTTAACACTATACCAACCAATATTTAACATTATAACAACTAATACTTGACATTATAACAACCAGTACTTAACACTTTAACAACCAATATTTAACACTATACCAACCAATACTTAATACCAACACAACAACACATTAGATTTATTGTGCAAAAAAAATGTCTGTAAAGTAATTTTTGAGTGGTTAACGATAAAACAAAGTAAATATAATAATTTTTAAAAATCAAGAAATCCTAATACTATCAACCATTACTTAATTCAAAAGTCAACAGCACAATTGGATTTACCTTTTTTTATTTTGATTTGTCATTTTTCATTTTAATTTGTCAGTTTTCATTTTAATTTGTCAAATTTTATTTCAATTTGTCAGTTTTCATTTTAATTTGTTAATTTTAATTTTAATTTGGCCAATTTTAATTTTAATTTGGCCAATTTTAATTTTAATTTGGCCAATTTTAATTTTAATTTGGCACAAAACTTAGACCTCACAAAACATTTGTGCCAAATTAAAATGAAAATTTACCAGTTAAATTAAAAGTTGACAAATTAAAATGAAAATTGACAAATTAAAGTGAAATTTGGCCAACCTAATCAATAAATGGTGTAGTTAATAGTTTAAAAAAATAATGAAAAAAAAGAACTAATAGAAAGGTTTCTTCAATATTGATCAATAATAAACTGTGGAAAAATTACATGGTTAAATTAAAAAAAAAAATAAGAAGATAAAAAGTCAAAATATTTGTTGTGTTAAATAGGTGTGAAGTAGTGTATAGTGACCAGGGCAAAATATGGGGCCTTTTACAAACCCGGCCTTGGAAAAAATTACAAAATTTACCAAGTTAATAGCCGGGGCTAGGGAAAAATTTATAATATGCTTTATATTAGAAATCTATGTATATATTTACTATTTATTAAATTCAGGCATATATTTTTTTTTTAATTTAACTTAAATGGCAAATAAAAATGAATTTTTAAAATCAAGCACACCATTCTAAAAATAACCATCCAGGCATTAAATTTTAAATAAAGAAGACAGAATCGTGGGCATGAATTTAAAACCTACGTTTAAAGCTAAAGTTTATAACGGTTGGAGTAGGAGGAAAAGAAAAAGATGAAGATTTTAGAACATAAAGAGATAGATATAGTAGAAGAATTTGAATGGGGAGTCAAAGCGAAATGTTTTGGTTGATTGAACTAGAGATAATAACTTGTTTGAGCAGCAACTGTGGTATAAGCAGCAACCATCTGAGAGTGAGAATGCTGCCAATCATCAATATAGGATTGTCGGCAATCTTGCAATGGTTTTTTGCACTAAATAACTTTTGTTTGAGTTAAAGATTACAAGTCACTGCAATTAGTTACAGATTACAAGTCACTGCAACCATTGGCATTAGTTTTTTTTTTTATTTTTTTTTTATTAGCTTATCAAGTTGTTTTTTTCTAATTTTTTAACCTGTACTATAACAAAAATAATATGATAAATTAACTCTTACATTCTTGAGTATTTTTTTTTTAATAGTAACTCTTTATGTAAATATGCTAGGTATGTGTATTGCATTATTTACATGGTAATCTAGTGTTGATTTTCGTTTGTCAGATGTTGTTAACAAATACTTAAAAAAAAGTTTTTAGAAAATAAAATTTTTTATAGACCAAATATAATTCTAATAAAATAACAAGTAACAAGGTATCATAAAGTACTCAGAACACCTAAGCATTTTTTGTAATATAAAAGTTAAAAAAACACTGAAACAAGTCAATAAAAAATGGTTAATAAAAATGGTTTTTTAGTTATTTTTCCATGCATTCGAGATTTGTTATTTATTTTTTTATACATTTTTCTATTTATAATCTATTTTACTGAGTTTAATTCAAAAAATAAATTTTTAGAAAAAATTTCGGTTAAGACAGTTGAAGAGACAAATGGTGATGATGGAGATTATCAGACATCTGTTTCTTTCACATTAGATGGTAAGCACATGATAACTGGCTCAAGTAGTGGGTCTTGCAAAGTATTCGAGGTAAGTGATGTATGTTATAAATATATTTGCACATATAAGAGTTGTTAGCTGCAAATAACGAAAAAAGAAAATTTGAAGCAACAAAATCATATAGGATTATATGTAAAACATTAATTAATAAATTTGTATGTCAAAGCTGTAAAACAAAGTATCCCAATGATAACATTTAAAAAAATTTAGCCACTATTTGGAATACATCAGGCTGTAAACTCCTGAGAGATAAGATTATATTGCCACTATGTGCAATTAAAGTGGAAAACCCAAGTGAAATTAATTCCAAGTGTTTGCGTAAATATTTAAAATAAAAATTTTAACACTCGAATCAGGAAAAATGAGGTCAGCAATATATTGCTGACATCAAACTGTTAGAGATCAGCATTAAATTGGCAAAAAAAATTTGACACAAAGGGGCTCCCATAAAACATAAAAATGAGGTCAGCAATTTTTTGCTGACCTCAAACACTTTCAGGTTGGCATTGCCAAATGCTGACTATAATTCCTAGTCAGGAATTATAGTCAGCATTTAATTCACACAAATTATTTTATTTTTAGACTACTTGACCACTAATGTTTATATGACAAACATTCCAGAAGTGCGCTGAATGTAGAAATGCAAAGCTAAACTTAAACTTGGAAAAAAAGTTTAAAAAAAAAAAACAAAAAAAAAGTTCCTAACAAAAAAAAGAAAGGAAAAAAAAAATTATTTCGAAAAAGAAATTGTATAAGCACAAAAGTAAAAATAAAAAATTAAACTCGAAACATTTTCTTACGTATTTAATTACGTTTGAAATAAAGTTATTAAAACTTATTTTATCGTAGTCTTTTTTAAATAATAATTTTTAATGATTTCATGCTCTAATTAGTGAGTTTAGTTAAAAAAAGATTTTAACTTTTTTATTCGTTAAAATAGGGAGAAAAAAAAAATCCGCCTGTGATTTAATTAAAATAAACTGTCAACAAGCGATTTAGTTTCATTTTAATTACAACTTTATTAATAAGTACTTCACCTAATAAACTTAAAAGTTATTATTAAAGATTAAAACTCATTCATTCCTTTCTTAATTTAAAAAAAAAAAAACTTTCAAAAAATACGTTTGTTAAAAAGATTTTATTAATTAACATTAAGATTTTTATATAACATTTTTTATTAATTAACACGTGCGTAACAACACATGCGTTTATGTAAACAATCATTATTAATTTTATGGTTTTATTTAAAGCCTTCGCATAAACTAAAAACTTTAGAAAAGATCAACGATTAAAAGTTATTCATAACGTAACACTTTTTTTATTTAATTTTTAAAACATCAAAATAGCCGTGGTCAAGTTGTAAAGAAAAAGCAATATTAGCGTGGTCAGTTACAGAGTGCAATCGCACGCCATTTCTGTCCAAGCCTGTATATGTATACACACACTTAAATAAATTTTTAACTTTGAGAGTATGAAAGGTAAAATATGATTCTTTTGACAACAAATTGTTACTTTAAGTAACAATTAATTAGTAAGATATTTATCCAACTTATCTAATTTGTCTTAAAGCCAAAACTGTTAAAATAATTGCCGATGCATATAAAAAATTTTTAAATTAACACAAAAATGCAGACTAAATTGACTTGGATTGAAATGTAGACTACGTTTTTAAAATTTTTTAATGTTTTACACTGTTTTTATTATTTAAATTTATTTGTTTTATTTTTTTTGTTTTGTTTTATTGGTTGATTTATTTAGAGATTGATGCAGCTGAGTATAAATACTACAACTGACTTAAATAGAACATGAGAGAAGTGTACATATCAACTGATTTAAATAAGGTAAAATGTGTCAGGAGTGTACATACATCGACTGATTTAAATAAGGCAAAACACGTGTAGAGTGTACATACATCGACAAAATAGGTAAAACATGTGTGAGTAGTGTAATAACAAAAAAAATCAAAAAATATTTTTTTTACAAAAAAAAGTTCACGTTTTTTTAGCTTTATTCATAAGAGTCATAACAACTAAGTAACTTTTATTAGCAAATAAGATATTAATACCAAGTGTTCTGTATAATATAATATTATTAACAAACAAATATAATATTATGAACAGTTTTAAGTAAATTAATTAAATTAATTATGATTAAATTAAATTAATTACAATTAAAAACAATTAAGTAAATATAATATTAACAAGTAATCTGTACAAAATGTTCAAGGTATGTTTAAAAAACATTTTTTCCCATGAACTTAAGATTCAGAAATTCAGTTTTTCTTGATTTCACATAAAGTTCCTTCATCAGTTTTACAACACATTCAGCAATTTGGTTAGATCTGGATATTAATTAATGACTCCTTTACTGACCAATGCCTCATTAAACACTTAACTTTTCTTAAATTTTATCTTGATGAGCGAGGTAAACAGTTCATTTGAGAACGCTTCATTTTAATGCTGAAAATGGAACCAAGCATTTGCCCATTCATAGCTAATGAAGTTGCATGCTGGAATGAGGCATTCTATAACAGCATACATCACACGTGAGTTACATCTTGCTCAGAAGTGTTGTTTTTCATTACTAGTAAACCCGCTGTTGTAGTGCTTGATCTTTGGTTTATTGATTTGCATTCAGGAGATGATGCTGAAGAAGAGGGTAATGACTCAGGCAAAGAAGCAAAGGTTCCAGAATCCAAAGATTCCAGAATCCAAAGATTCTGAGACAGTTTTATGTGTTTGTGTGGGTTGTGATTAAGAAGAGCTGGCTTTAAATTGAGTTTTTGCCAGATTCATTTTGCTGGATGGATTGATTCCAAAGGGCCTTTTTTGACCATTAAAAAATCATTTTTTCCTTCACTCTTAACTTGCCTCTAGCAGAGCTTTTTATCCTCTTTGCTTTTCTATTCTCCATTAACGTAAGTAACATCAAATAACTGATTATTGTAGTAAGTTTATCAGAAAGTTTTTTTTTGTTTTTGCCAAATAGTTCAATTAGACTATTGAGTTTCTTTCTAATGAGGGCATTGGATAATAGTGGAATGAAACACAGCTCAACAACGATCATACAAACTACAAAAAAGTGGGCTTTCTAATGGATAATAGTGGAAAATTTAGAATTTTGATTTGGTCTAGTTGCCGTTTCTCACTATTAAAAAGTAAAGTTTTCGAGAATTTGACGGTTAGTCTGCATCCATGTGAGATTGGTTAGCTTTTCAACAGATAGATACCTTGGATTCTGGTTGTAAAGAATTAGTTAACTCTCCCATCATGTCATATTTAAGTAAGAGAAAATAGCCTTGGGAAGCTTGTCTTAGCCAAACAAGTGTATAGCCATGATTGTTAAATTTAGAAGAAAAAAAAATGTTTATTATTTTTAAAGAACTGTTTTGTTTGTATTTTAGCAAGAATAAATTTTAGTTTTTTTTTTTTGGTTTTGATAGCTGTTTTATTTTGACAGCTAATTAATTTTTGAAGATATATAAAAAGAACTGGTTTTATCATACAAAATTTTCTTTTCAAGTTTTCTACTTTCACAATGTTCTACTTTCTACTTTTTTCTACTTTCAAAATGTGAAATTAATTATACCTTGATACTTTCATACTTTTTTTTTTTAATTTCAATTTGTTAACTTAAATACAATAACTGTCTATATATTTTTCGATTCTAATATATCAGACTTATTACTTTTTTTTACAGATTTATTAGTTTTACATAACTTTTAATGTTGTACCCTTATTTTTTATTTTGTTATTATTATTTTTATTTTTTTTTTTGCTTTTATTTTGAATATTTTTATTATAGCTTTTTTTAGTTCATCAGAACTGTTTTGTAACAAAATCGTCTTGAAGATAATGTTATTTTTTTCACTTGTTTTTTTTTCAACTGTAAGAATTATAATTATTTATGCTAATTTAAAAAAAAAAGAATAATTACATGCATCATATAATTGTTTTTAATTTTGTTGTCAATAATGTTTTTTACTAAATCATTACTTGGAATAACAAAACATTTTTAATCATACTCAATCAAATCAATATTTTTGAATAAAAAAACATTGGTATTTCTCCAAATTGACTAAAATCTCTAAAAAAATCAGTTGATGCATTAACCTTGCTGGGATTATCACAAAAGAGTTCAATTGATGATTGAGCGCTTTGCTGACCATAAAAATAAAAAATAATTTAATTAGTAAAAGTTATTCATATCAATTCAATAACATTTTTTTTTTTAGTGTCCTTCATTTCAACTGAAATTCAACATAAAGAAAGCGCACTTAAACGAAATTGATGATTTAGACGTTCATCCAAATTCTAAATATGTACTTTTTTTCATAATAATCGTTTTGTCAAATTTTAACTACATTTTTTTTTTCATAAGTTAGTCACTTTGAATATTTTAATGTTATATCAAGAATTGAACATTTGCATGTAGTTTGTAAGTGTTTCTAAAGATCATAGTGCGAATTTGTGGAAATTAGAAGATGGAAAAAAGGAATTAGAGCTTCCGTTTTCATTAGCAAAAAAAGATGAAGACTTTTATAGGTTTAGGAATTGCAGGTATAAAATAATTTTTTTCGTTTTTAACTTTATATTAGTATGGTTGTAAGAATCATAGTCATAAAACCCTAATCCAAAACATAACTCTGATGTTGATGATGACTTAACTTAAAACATGACTCTGATCTGTAGGACACTTAACTTTAATCTGTTGTCTTTGGGTTTTCTAAATTAGTTTTTTTAAATAAATAAAATGGTTGTGTTTAGGTTTTCAGAAAATTTAGATAACAAAAGCGTCTACTTGTTTACCACTCATATACCAAGAAAAAACTCAAAGTTAAAGTCAGCGAATTGCATTGTAAAATGGGACACACGAAAATGGGTTCCAGAGCAAGTAATACAAGTAAAGGATCATTCATTATCAGCATTAGCTGTCAGGTATTTATATTTTTTGTTTAAAAAAAAATCAGGTATTTATTCATATTTTTTTTAAAAAAATGTTAAATATTGTCTTATGATCTAGTTCAAATGGTCGTTACGTTGCAGTCGGGACAGCAGATGGTTCTGTGCTTGTCTATATTTCATGGAACATGACTGTACTATTTTGATGTCTTTTTTTTTAACATTTTTAAACCTTCATATTTTTTTTTTATTTTGTTATAGATATTGTTTTATCATATTATGTTTTTTATGTTTTATTTTTTAAATTAAATTTTTTTATTCCTTGTAATTTAGTTGAATGAATTTTAAATCTTAGCATTTGAAAACAATTCTTAGAGTTCACGACAGTTTTGTGACAGGATTATCTTTCATAGCTGACAATAAAATACTTTGTGAAGAAATGAAACAAGATGCTGCTTTGCTTAGCTGTTCCATTGATAATAAATGTCAAGTATCTTTGATACCTAAAAGAAGTAAGTAATTTGATTGAATTAGATCAGTAATTAAAAATTTAATTATAAAATTTAAATTTTTGATTGCCTGATCAATATTTTAAAAACATTCGCCTAGCAGATGGCTTTAGACAAGTTCTACTTTTACAAAATTAATTTGGCAAACATTACAAAATGTTTTCATTTTTATCAATAGTTATTATTTCTCTAGAAAAGAATTTATAAACTATTGAATTTATAAACTTTTATAAATTATAGGTACAAAATTATTTATTTTGGTAAGGTAAATTTTGAAAAGTTTTTTCAAAAGTTCTTTTGTAATTGTTTCAAATAAATAAACCTTGGATTAAAAAAATCATTATTTAACAATAATAGTAAAATAATAGTAAAAAATCATTACTTAACAGTAGGTAGGTGTTCATGAAAGGTGTTTCTTATTATTTAATTTTTGCTAGAGTTATTATAAATTGATTGTTTTAGATTGCTCTTGGCAACTTTAGATACTAAATATTTATTATTTTACTTTAGCTGAATTTCCGATATATATTATCCTGGTTGCTATGTTATTGCTACTTTACGCTACGTTTAATTGTATAGCTTATTTTGATATCGAATTTTGATAAATATTTGAATATTTTTATTTCCTTTATTTCTTTAATGTTTTTAATATTTAGGGGTAACCATTGAAAGCGTTTTTTTAAAGGAGCAGCAATTTTTTATCACTAACACCTCCTTTTTTTAAATTATGTCATTTTGACCTATATTTTTTTAAAATTATGTCATTATGACCTATATTCTTGAACTCTTTGCTGAAATTTTTCCTAATGTTAGGCAATGTTTTTGTTATTGAGCGTCATTAATTTAATATTCTTATTATCAATCCTTATGTTGCGTTTATGTTGTTCAGGGTGTTTAATGCGTATTTTAAAGTGCTTTATTGAGTTTTTAGTGATATTTTTTGAGCATTAAATTTAGTTTGACCGTGACCTACTTTACTACGAACTTATTGCAAAAAATGAGACTTAAGTTTTAGTTTGTTTGTTTATTTAGTATTTATGAAAACTTCTAAACTTTACAAGCACAATTCAATTTAATTTTGCCGTGAGCCAGTTTGGAACGGCCCTTTAGGGAAGTATTTATGAAAATCACAAGCCTAGCGTAAACATAAAAAATTAATAAAATACATGACCGAAAGTTTAATTAGATATAAATTTTTCTTATATGTTATGAATTTTATAAAACCTAAAGAGTGAAAAAAACAAAACACAAAAAACAGTGTTATTTTTAATAAATGAGCAAACAAAAGTTAAAAATAAATTGCATAAAAAGATATGAGGATTTCAAGTTTATTACTCGAATAAATCGACTTGTAATCGATTAGTATTAATCCATAATCGATTAAATTGACTGTTCAATTTTTCAAAGTCGACTTCTTTCGACTAGTTAACTTTTAGTCGATTTAGTCGAAGTCGTTAAGAATACTATTTTATACTAAAAGTAAATGATTGTGTATATTTTTATAATAACACGATGCTACTAAAAATTTGCACCAAATTTGAACTTGCGAACTAATTTGAATATTTCTGCAGTTCGAATTAAATTCACAAGATATTCTTATTTCATAATCTGATACTGATTTTGGCAATTAAAATTATGTAAATAAAATGGATGGAATTAAAGAAAACGACAAACGAAAGCTTATTGGAAACTTCTATTAAGATAACATAGACAAAGGGAAACATTTACAGTGTATCATTTTATGCAAATGAAAGTTGCAAAGTGAACAATTTATAATATTAAAAGATTTGACGACAGTATTGACCTTAAAAGAAAGTCAGGAATCGGCAGAAAACCAAACAAAATAGATAAATGAAAAATTACTTCACTCATTAACAAGGCTGAAAATAAAGTTTAAATCTCCCAAAAAAAACTTGCATTGAAATATGGAATTCATAGAAGTTATTTTTATAAAATTTTAAACATGCATGCACCAGAAAGCTCTGAAATTCAAATAATTAAACAAAAACAACGACTGTTAAAACTTTCGAAAACTTTTTTCCGACTGTCAAATGAGTTTGAAATTGTCATGGATGACGAGTCTTATTTTACATTGAACAGTCAAAACACACCAGGAAATGATGGTTTTTTATTTTTCTATTTTTTTATTTTCTTGTCTTTATAAATGGCGAAAACAATTAAATTTAATTTTTTTTTATACGAAATTAATTGTTTCCGCTATTCATAAATTAATTAATCAATGTTCTTTGAAAACGTACGTCACTTTTCAAAGAACACTGATCCTTACGTAAACATTCTTGACAATTAAAGTTCATGAGGTTACAAATATTCTAAATAAGGGTGAAATGCAAGAAGCGAACTTGAGTCATGCTCGACTTGAACTTTACATTATAACCAAAAGCGACAGAGTATGGGTTTTCCCCTCAAAAAAAAAATCTGCCGCTATTGGTTACAAAATAAAGTTCAAGTCGAACTTGACTCAAGTTTGCTTCTTGCATTCCACCCTAAATCACTACATTACATGTCTTTACTAAATATAAATATTAGAAGCATGAGCAAAAACTTTGAAAATATAAAATTAATGCTAAATAATATAAATTTTAAATTCAGTATAATCTTACAAAAACCTGGTGTCGGAGTAAAGACATGAGTAACTCTAATTTGCATTTAACAGATTATAAAACTGTTCACCAACCAAAAAAAAAACGGTATTGGCGGAGGCGTATGCATATTTATTCACTACACGTTGACGTATAAAAAAATTGATAGTCTCCCGGTGGGAAATGAGCAAGCGACTAGCAGCTTTCTAGCGATTTTTTTTTCCTATTTTATTATTTCCTAATGTCTTCAACATCTTTAAAAATTCGATTTTTAGTGTTGAGTCTACTATAATTATGAGGATAATCGAACTTTAAACATTGCGATTTTGTAGCAATGTGTCGCTAGCTAAATATCGTAGCTTTGTAGCTAGCTACAAAATATCTACAAACCTATAGCTAGTTGATAGCTACATATCAAATTTTTTTAGACAACGACTTTATTACGATATGACGCTATGTACAATAGCCAGTGGGTCCTTAGCTTATTAAGCTGGCTGTCCTCTTAACCAAATGTCTGTCTTTATCTTTACAAATATCGATAGCTTTTCGCTAACTTAAGAAAGCTAGCGAAAAAATTCGTTTATAACAGCTTTTTATCAACCACCCAATGGCAGTTACAATCAATTTGAAAACGACTTAAGGCGAATATTAATTCAAACCTCAAAAAATTTCTATACTTACTCGGAGACTTTAAATTAAACTTGATAAATTTAAACACTGATAATCACGTGAAAAGTTTTATAAATACTCTTTCTCAATTTAGTGTTTACCCCATGATTAACAAGCCGACGCGTGTAACTCGAAAGACATCATCTATCATAGATAATATTATCACTAATAATATAGACTCGATTGCGATCTTTAGACAGCTTTTGCATGAAATCAATTAGGAATTATTGAATGATTGCAATGACACATTTAGCGCTTACGATTTTTTTATCCGCTTCTTTATAAGGCAATATGATAAAGCTTTTCCAAAAAATTCAGAAATTTATAAAATCCAAAAGTGTGCATAACCCGTGGATGACGAAAAGGCTTTTAAAATCATCAAAAAAAAATGCTATTCGAAAAATTTTTAAAAAACAAAAACAATGAAAACGAAACTAAATATAAAAAATACAAAAATTATTTCGAAAAAATAAAAAAGCAATCTAAAAAAAACTTCTATTCTGGTCTACTCCAGAAATCATTTGGAAACGCTAAAAAAAACTTGGACCATGATAAAAGAAATAACAGGGAAAACAAAAACTACATCTAGCAACATCCCTAATTCACTTAAAACTGATAAAGGTGAAATTTTTAATTAAAAAAAAAATGCTGAGAGTAATGAATAATTTTTTTTTTATATGTTGGGGAAAATTTAGCCAAAGAAATCTTTCCAAGTAGCAAAACATTCCAGTCTTTTTTGAAAAAATCAGATTTTATTATGGACAATTCGGAACTTTCCATTAAAGAATTTCGTTCAGCTTTTAACATGTTTCAGACATGTTTGCAGGTCTTGATGAAATTAATGCAAATGTTTTGAAAAGTGTCTTTGATATTATCGAATTGCCTCTTTTCATTATTTTTAATCTTTCAATAAAAAAAAGGGGCTTTCATGATCAATTAAAACTTGCTAAAATAATTCTAATTTTTAAAAACGGCGACGATTTTTTTGAATCAAACTACAGACCCATCTCAATTCTTTCCTGTTTTTCAAAGGTTCTCCTGAGTATTAAGTATAATAGAATATATAACTTCATTGATAAAAACAATATTTTATATCCTAAACAGTTTGGGTATCAGGAAAATCATTGCGCTGAGCATGCAGTGATGGATTTGGCTAGCAATATTTTAAAAGGATTTGATGACAATAATTATACACTTAGAGTTTTTGTTGATTTATCGAAGGATTTGACACGGTCGTTCACGAAATCCTCCTCTATAAATTAAAAAATTAAGGAATTTAAAATTCTAATATCAAATGGCTTTAGTCTTATCTGTAAAATTGTAAACAATGTGTGATGTGTGATTTAACTTGTACGCAGTTAGAAGTTATTAGTTGTGGTGTCCCTCAAGAATCAGTACTTGGTCCTCTGCTGTTTCTCTTATATATTAGTGACATCCACTTATCCTCTAAATTTTGTTTTTTTTGCTGATGATGCTAATTATTTTTTTTCGGGGTCTAATTTAAAATTTGTTTTTTCTACTGTAATCACAGAGCTAATAAATCTTAATGACTGGTTTAAAGCTAATAAACTGTCCATAAACATTGATAAAACTAAATACATTTTGTTAACAAAAAATTCGAAAACTGATAATATCCCTGAAACTTCCTGATTTATTTATAAACAACATTAAAGTAAAAAGAGTTCGTTCAATGGAAATCCTAGGTAAAATATTCTACTATAATTTAAAATTAGAAAAATCATATCCAATTAGTGGAAAACAACATTTCAAAAGCTCTTGGGATCCTTTTCAAAACGAAGCACCTTTTGAATATAATGTGCACAAAAAGCTTGTATTTTTCATTTATTCATAGCCACATTAGTTATTACAATATAGCGTGGGCAAGTAATTATTCATCTTCTTTAAAAAAAAAATTATAGCAAACAAAAGCAAGCGAGCCAGTTAACTTTAAATGCAGGTAGATATGCATGCGCCGAGCCTTTACTTAAAAAAAAATTAATGTTTTAAATATTTATGACCTAAACATCTATCAAAGTCTGATATTTATGTTTAAAATTAATAACAACATGCTTCCAACATATTTTCAGCCTCATTTCACCTTAATTAATCACAAATACTCTACAAGATATTCCATTAGCAATTTTCTCATACCTACAACATCCCTTAGAAAAACAGACTTCTCAATAACATGTCGAGGACCACGTTTGTGGAACTATTTCCTGAATAGAGACATGAAAAACATGACTTCAATTAAACTATTTAAAAGAGCCGTTAAACTATACTTATTAGATTTAAATAATAAAAACATTCTTTTGTATTTTTAAAAAAACATTTATATATTGATTTGTTAACACGTATACATGCATATTATAATTTATATATATTTTATGAACTATAATATATTATAATATGTATAAAACTTGTAGTATGTTCAAAACTTGTAATATGTATAAAACTTGTAGTATGTATAAAACTTACATAACGTATATTTTAGAAACTTAATACGTAAAACTTTATTGATATTTTCAAGAGCATAGGAGCAGGATGATAAGACGCATTGTCTTCTACTTGCTCCTTTCAGAATATGAAGATTTAATTTTTAATTTTTACAAAAAACATTGTAAAATGATTGTTTATTGACGAAATATATATATATATATATATATAATTTAAAAAAAAAGGTAGATTTAATAAATCAAAGCCTCTCAGAATGATGCTATTAATGGAAAAATATATTCCAAAGAATGCATTAAAAAGAAGCTTGTTCCCTTCATCAATTCGCGTCTCAAAAATATAAAATACATATTTTGGCCTGATGGTGCAAGCTGTTAATTGTATGCAAAGCTAACAATTGAAATCTATAAGAAGTTTAATATAACCTATATTTCTAAGGATGATAATCCACTAAATGTACCGCAATTGAGGCTCATTGAGACATTTTGGGCTTACCTAAAACAGAGAGTCTATTCCAATAATTTCAAAGCAAAAAATCTTAACCACCTAAAAAAGAAAATTCAACTTAAGTTACGAGATTTCAGTCCGGAATACTTTAAAAACCTTCTTTGCTCGCTGATGACTAAAATTCGTTACTTTATTGATCATGGAACAATTTCAGTTATAAGATGATCTATTATTGCTATTCTTACTTATTTGATCAGTTGTGAAACAATAATATAATTTCAATGACAATTATAAGCAATTCTTTTTTGTTCGTATTTTTAGTAGACTCGTATTAAGATATTTGGAATCTAGCGGAATGGTTTAAGACAAACATATTGTCCACAAATTTAATAAAGCAAATAAGTATAAATAAAAATAAAACTAAACATATTTTTTTTCATAGACTTCATGATAAGGAAAATATTCCATTCAAACTTCCTGATCTTTATATTGGCAACTCTAAAATAATTAGAGAGTCATCATTAAAGTTTTTAGGAGTGATAGTTGGTGAAAACTTGACGTGGAGAGAACACATAAGAACGAAAGAAGGTAAAATTTGTATATGAAAAATATTGTCGTACTATACAAAGCTGAGCAATTATTAAACCAAAACTGCTTAAAAATCTTATATTTCACTCTCATACATTGTTATATAAACTATGCAAACATGGCATGGTGAATGTAAGTAAAATTAAAATATTGCTTAGTAGACAAAAACACGCTGTCAGAATTATTTCAAGTTCAGGTCGATTCGCACATTCTAAAAAAATATTTAAAAATCATCACATACTCAATGTTTTTCAGTTAAACCTTTATCAAGTTCTTATATTTATGTACAAACTTCATAATAAAATAACTCCTATAATATTTAATACACTTTTTAATAAAATTAATCACGTGAACCCTACATGATTTTCAAATTACAATTATGGACAACCTAAAATGCTATTATACTATTTGGTATCGATCAAAATATACTTTGAGTTTTTTACTTATAGTTGAAAAATAGGCTACATAATAGCAGTTTTTGCAAATAACTTTGCTGTCAAGTAATATCATAGTACTTTTGAGATATATTTGAAAAATAAAAAATTAAAATACTTTCACCATTTTTATTGTGAAAAATAAATGAAACCATTATAAAAATTAAAAGAAAAGGTTCAAAAATCTATAATGAAATACTTATAATATTTTTGATTTGATTTTAACATGAGTTGATAAAATTTTAAATATATTTAGCAATGTTAAAAAGCATAAAATAAACATTAACATATATCTATATAAATAGACAAATGCATAATATGCAAATGTAACTGTTTATAAGAAATCTAAAAATCTATTTTAAAATAGAAATCTAAAAATATCTTGCACCAACCAAATAAAAAAACATTATTTGTACAGGGATCACCCCCTCCCCTTTTTTTTTTCTCTCTCCCTCTCTAAAAAATAAGTTAGGGAAATTAATAAGAACCTGTTTTATTTTCGATTTTTTATTTTAGATGGTCTCAAGGCCCATTTAAAATTTTTAATTTAATTTTCTCAGTTCGGAAAACTAAAGACAAGACAAAATAGATGTAATCTTGCAATTTGTTGTAGCTCGTAATGAAAATACTTCTGAATCAACGGATATTATCTACAATTTACTTTTCCTCTAAAAAATTAGAGCGAAAAAAAATTAATTATGAACTAACTCTAAAAAACTCTGTAAAGCTTATTTTTTTTTTTAAGTATTGGATTACAACTTAAGCCGTTCACTGTCGCAACTGAGAACCAAATCATCAAAAGAAAAAACATTTTATAAATATTTTATTATATCACCAATTTTATTCTACCCCTTTTCTGCTCTATACTTTAAACTTTTTTTTTGTGCGTAACGTGTAAACGCAACATTGCACGCTTACACGTTACAGTTACAAATATTCTTTAAAAGTGTAAAAACAAATTTAAAATAATTTATTTCTAAATTTAAAAATGAACTTTAAAATGGTAATTTCTTAAAAAACATTAAAATAAAATTTTTTTTTAAATTAAAGTGAATTTATGTCAACAAATTAGATTCCTATTTCAATCAAAGCAATTGTAAACTTTTCTATCAAAGTGCAGCAACTAAAAAAAAAAAAAAAAAAAAAAAAAAAAAAAAAAAAAAAAAAAACAGAATAGCAAATTTAATCAACATTTTTGATCTTATTGTTTTCTTATTTGATATTATAAACAAACTAAGTTTTATTGATTTCTTTTCTTTTTTTTAACAACATAAATAACTTTATAAAGCAACAACGCAATTAATTTAGCTTTTTTCAAGAACAATTTACAAAGTTACTTAAGAGAAAGTTTTAAGTAATATCTTTAGAGTTTTGTGAAACCTAGAAATAAATTAGAACTAAATCGAAATACAAAGGTTGATGTGGAAGGTTGTCTATCATTTTTTAAAACTAGAAAGTTCGTATAGTGAGCCTCTTTGTCGTCTACTTATATTATTTTGAGAAAAACCAGATGATTTGTTTGGAGTTGAAAATGAAGATGAGTTCTTAAGATATGACGATTGATTTTCTTCTACAGCTTCAAAAATGTTCGGTGAACTATAACTGAGATCTGAATTCGAAGCACGCCACATAAGTTCTTCATTTTCCATAGATAAACGAGATACTTTACGGTGTTCGTTCTCAAATTTTTCTAGCAAAGCATCCCTTTCAAAAGATATATTTCTAAAATAAAAACAGAGGTTTTTATTTATTGTTTTAAATTTAATTTAGTTCATAAATCAATTCAAGAAATTCAAGGAAATATTACCTTTCCAAAATAGCTTTTTTCTTTAACGTTTCTTTTAAAGATTGATTTTCCTGATTGATTAAATCAAACTTTACTTGGAGTTCGTAGTACTGGTCAACCTGTCAATTAAGAAAGTATACTATTTAATTATATTTTGAAGCAAAATTAAAAAGAATTTTTTTCTTAATTTATTATACTTTTCTCTGTAAATCCATGGTTTTAACACGAAGAGATTTCAGTTCGTCTGTTTTTAATTCAAGTACGGCTTTTAAACTATCAAGTTCTGCAGGCATCTGTTTATAAGGAAGAATCAGTGCCTATAAGAAAAAAAAACATTTGACTATCCTCTTAAATCTATAATTTAAAACGATGGAAACAATTGAAAAAAGGTAAAACCTGCATTGCTAAATCCTTTTCTGCTTCTTTTGTTATTTGAGCTATTCGATTTAGCAATGAGTTATTTTCTTGCTTTAAGATGGCCATCTTGTCCTAAAATATTGTTGAAAGATTTTTAAAATGTATTATCAAATGTTTAAAATCAGAAAACAAAATTAAAGTTTTTATGAAAAGAAAACCGTAAATAATCGATGCTCAATAAATTGCTTAAAAATATAAACTTATGATTTTCAAAACATTATTTGACAAAATAATGATACCTCTAAGCTTTTAATTTGAAAATTTTGCTTTGCTATTATATCATCATTATCATTGAACTTCTCTATAAACAGATATAATAATATACATTTTTTTATGTACTAACCACACAATAGAAGCACGATGAGTATTAAAAAGAAGTTATACTTTCATAAGCAATCATTTTCTGCTTCAATGCTGTTTCTCTCTCTTTTAATATGTCCACTTGATTTTTATACGAAACTTTAAGCTGATGAACCTAATTAGTAAATTTACATAATTATTACATAAAGTCAGATTACTGTCAGGTACTTTACTTTAAAATATTTTATTAAATTAATTTATTTTATCTATCACGCTATTTATATATTCTTGCATTATGACATTTTAATTAAGAAGGTATCCTTTGACTGCTTACTTTTTAAACTCAACAAAACTAGAATAAGATAGCCAGCATACGAAAAATCTATAATTTTTTGCTAACAATATATAGATCATTATTTAAAAAGTGTGGTATTTTAAAATACATGTTTCCTCCCAAAAAGGCTTCTTACAGACACTATTTATATCAAGAGTTAAAAAGAAAAAAATAGTTGAATGGCAAATTGTTTTTGAAAAGTCTAAAATAAAGTGAGTGTTATTAGAACTGTTATTTCCACAATAAAAATCCATTTTTTTGAAGCCACATCTACTGGAGCTTATTTAAAGTAACTTTCATTTCTTATGGTTTTTCCATAACAAATTCACAAAAAATAGTTATTAGTTATTCAAACATACAGATATTCGAAAATTTGTTTGAAGTGATTTTTTATTCCTCTTGACAAAAAACCAGTTTTTCATCAAATTAAGATTACATTGCATTTTAAAACCGACAAAAAAATCAAACACGATGCAATATAAAATAGTGTATATTCCAATAAGCCCCATGCACAAAAGAACACAGCCGTAATATAAGAAAAAAGGGTCCAACTAATAAAAAAGTTGTTTAAAAGTTTAACATTTAATTAAGCATAATAAAGACATAAACAGGAAGTACAAGTTTGATCATTTTGAAGCTAAGACAAAAAATTTAAGTGTAAAAGCAAATTTGACATGTTTACAGATTATAGATAGATTAGATTATATATTGAATTTGTGAGATTATGCAAAATAAAAAATTTCAAGTTTTTAGAAGGATGACTAGATCATTGAACAATAAAATTTTCTATTCTATTTAATTGCACGAAAAAGCTATGTACAGAAAAACTGACTTCAATCCCACAATCCTTTCAAGGAATAAATTAAGGAATATAAACAATATTGACAACTTTCAACAAAATGTTTTTATCAAAAGGAACTCTACTAAATTTCCTTAGGAGGAAAATTTAATCAAACTCACTGATAAGCCATCAAAAACGGGGTTGGTGAAAAGCTGTCGTAATTGGTTATACATAATTGGCCAAAAGAATGAACATTACTACTAAAAAAAAAATTTTCATCTATTCAATCTATTTTTTCACCTACTTCTATCAATAAATTGGAAGTAGTGAGAAATTTGCTGAAGAAAATTAGATAAACTTAAATTTTCAGGTTTGTACAAGTGAAACAAATGCTAAAAAATTCCATTCCAACTCTGGAGAAGGAGGACACAAACAAATCAAAAAATGTGTGTTCTAAAAAACCAAAGGTTCACAAACAATAAAGTTACTTGAATGTTGATATTTTCACTTTATAGCTAGCTACTAAAATAGGGTTATGCTTTCAGAAAAACTGTTAACAACAACATAATTGAAATAAAATAGATTTTAACAAAAAGGTTTGACAAACACACTTAAGAAACACAAAAACAAATAAAAATGGACAAATCATTTTACAAATTATAAAGATTTTTTTATTTTACAAGGAAAAGACTATACAGTATCCAAAAGTCTACCTTTTTTTAATACCCTATAAAATAGTTCACTTTAAAGCCAATTTTATGTTATTTGTAATTTTGGTTATTATAAATTTTATTCTCTACAAAGATTTGAATAATTGAGGAGGTTTGAATAACCAGGAGTAAACTGTAGTAACAAATTTTGTAGCTCCATTATTTATTGTGATTATTATTATTATTATTATCTAAAATATCTAAGATTATTTAAAGATATAAAAACTTCCAATATTCAATTTATATAAAAATTCAATTATAATTTTAAAAGCAGGTATATGAAATCTTAAATACAAGTGTATGATATCTTAAAAGCAGGTGTATGATATCTTAAAAGCAGGTATACAGTCTGCAAAATTCAAAGGATTTCAGGTCGGCACGCTTGTGCCGGCCTTAGCAGACACCAAGTCAACAAAAAAATTTTTTTTTTGCTTTCTGTTACGATAGGGGTAATGATCAATTGATTATAAAAAGATTGCTTTATAATAGCTTCAGACAATAATATTTTGAAAAATGTAGCATTTAAATTTTGTGTAGTAAATTAAGCATATAGCAAATTTATGAATTTGCGATTTTTTAGTTTTTTTTTTTACAAAAAAATATGGTCATAGTTTTTTGTTAAAAAAACTATGACCATATTTTTTTTCCTAATAGACTTTCCTAATAGACTTTCTGATCTTAAAATATATTAAAAAAACCGTAAACATGTAAATGAACGGTTTTAACTAATAAAATAAATTGAAATTAGATTTTAAAACTTAATAAAATAATAATTGCATTTAAATTGCGATTAAAAAAGCGTGAGGACAACAGGTATTTAAAAAGTAATATAACTTTTAAATGAACTTTGCAATGCTTGAATAAACTTGAGAAAAAAAGAAAAAATGAATTGAAAAAAATGAATGAATTTTTGTTTTAATAAAACATGTCAAACTTCAAAAGCAAATAATTAAAATAGATAAATTATAAACTAATATTTGATGAATATTATATATTTTTTACATGTATTTCAATTTGCATGCCGACACTTTAGGACATTCAGGTCGGCAGTTGAATGCTATCCTAAAACAAAGATAGGTCCGCTTTTGCATTGGCATTGCTGAATGCTGACCTGAACTTTTAAGACTGGGTATATGATATCTGTTAAGAATACAACATCTCAAACAAAAATATTACTCTTATATTTTAGATAACAACTACAGTTAAATATGTTCTACTTATTCAAAAATTGATTGTTCAACTCAAAAACTATACTAATTAACTATTTAAAAATTTTAATTAATAAACCAATAAAAATTCACTATTAAAAAGTAACAGTAACATAAAAGATATCAAATCAAATAAATATCATATCAAAAAAATAAAAAAATCTAATATTGTTATAACTATTATAGTTTTTATCTAATATAACTTTTTTCATGTATGATTGGTTTAAAAGAAAACAAGTTTACCTTTTCATCATTATTCTGTTGCAACTTTTCTATTTGCAAGTGAAACTCATTGCTTACTAAAATAAATTAATTAAACATGGAGAATCTACAATGAACCAATCATAATAATCAAAATAATAGAACAGTTTTTATGCAAGTATTTTGTGTATATACATAGTAAATTACAGTTAAAATATTTTTCTTATCATACATAGAAATTTTGTACATAAAAATCTACATATACAATATACTATAATATACAGTATGCAATAAACAAAAGTATTAATATACAGTATATAATAAACAAAAGTATATAAAACACAAACACTTACAAATTAAATTACTGAACATATACCTGCTATAACTTTTTTATCTATTTTTTCTTGGTGCACTGTTTTTAAATCAGATATTTTATCATTGTATTTATTGTGCAAATTAAGTATTTCAGTTTCATGATCAGCTTCTAATGTTAGTAAAGAATTTTGAAACTTTTCTGCTTTAACTTTTTCATTTGCTAAATAAAAAACATAAATTACAAAAGTATATAAAATATTGTGAAAAATATAAAAAATCTTATCATCATTTTTTACATTAAAGTTTATCTAAAGATTAACATTAATGCAAAATTATCAGAGTTGGTAATAAGATATAATTTTCTGATCACATTTAACTGATACTATATATTGGGGCAGGTGATGCTTTTTGAGGCTTGGTAGGCTTACCTAAAAATCTAGAAACTCTAATATAAAAAAATTAATAGCAAATAAAGTCAGGAGTTGCTCATAGATCTTGGATGGTAATCTTCTTAGTGGCAATATCTCAATAGAGATACATCCTGATATGTAAAACAGATTAACAGAATAACACACACACAGATATATATATATATATATATATATATATATATATATATATATATATATATATATATATATATATATATATATATATTACACTTTGCGCAGAAAAATAAGTTGAGCGCAATACTACTAAAGACATGGTGAGGATTGAACTTGAGACTTCTTACTTATGAAGGGAGCACTCTACCACTACACCACATATATATATATATATATATATATATATATATATATATATATATATATATATATATATATATATATATATATATATATATATATATATATATATACAAATACTAAGGTATATACGTACTAAGGTAAGCAATCTGAGTTCATACTGAAATAGCCTGCTGCTGGGGGCTTCAGTACATACATCGACTGACAAATAGCCTGACTCGCAGTGGAGTGCTGCTATATCGACTGAGGGTTTGGGATGGGGAAGCAATCGTTTCATTCATCATTCTTTGTTTTTTCTTCTTCTTTTTCGAAAAAAATGGTATAGCTTAAAGTAAGCAGAAAAAGTGAGCAAATGCTTATCAAAACACACTTTAGTAAGTGTATATATATATATATATATATATATATATATATATATATATATATATATATATATATATATATATATATATATATATATATATATATATATATATAATAAAATAAAACAATTTACCTAAAATATTTTTTAAATCATTAATTTTTTCATCTTGTTCTTTTTTATGGTTTTCGTATTCTTTGCTACTTTTTTGTAAAGAATGATTTTCAGCTACAGATTCATTTAAACTCTTTTTTATGTGTTCATTCTAGAAACACAATGATAAATTATGAAAAAATGTATAGAAAGAGTTTATTTATATTATAAAACTATTATATTATTATATAGAGTTATACCACCCTCTTTTCTATATCTTTTTTTCAAACCACTCTCTTTTCCATAGTTTTTCCTTTTTATACGACCCTCTTTTACTACTGTAAATATCATACCTGATTAATATAGTACTGCAACACAATACTCAATCCAATAAAACTGAGATTTGCTTTATCAGTGATTGATTTATAACTATCAATTTTATCATGTAATCCTGCAATAATATCATTTTTTGTTACAACTTGTGCACTGAGATCGCTTTCATTGCCTGCTTGTTTTAAGTGTTGATATTTGTTCAAAGAAACTTCAAGTTGATTAATTCTTTCATTACGCTCTTTTAATTGGTTCTGTAAGTTGTTGATCAATTCTTCAACATTTTTTTCTTTTTTATCTGGTGATTTTTTTTTAATAGCAATCTTAGACTTGGGTATTTTCTCTTTTTTATCGCTGATTTTATCATTTATTTTTTCTTTTTTTTCGCTAACTTTATCATTTTTAAAATCTGTAGATTGGCGACCAGAACTATTGCATTTTAAAGGTGATTCTTTTTCTCCTTGTAGTTGAATATTTCCATTACTAACAATGACTGCATTATCATTTTCTCCTAGAAAAAAATCTAGAACTTATTAACAATATGTTTAAAATGAAAAAATCAAACGAAATATAAGGTGAAACCCCAACCAGATACTCTCCCTTTTTGTATTTTTTGTAGTTTCTACTTCTGCTTTTTAAAAACTTAGAACAACACAAGAATAATAATTTAACACACATTTAATCTTTAAAAATCATAAAAATCAAAATTAATTAATATTATTTAATAATAGCATGAAAAACTTTTAAAGGAGCATATAATGAATAAATAAATATAAAAACATTAAAATTCCAACTTTATCATCAAAATCAAAGATTATAAACTATGGAGATGATAGTACACCAAATGGTTAAGTGTAGTAGGGTTTCATTATGATTGCAAATTTTTGGCGGTATAATTATCATCTAGCATACAACAATTCAATTGCATCCATGAAAATATTTTTTTCAAAGATTTTGAACTAATTTGTTAATTGTTGCATATCATTATTTAGGGGCATTTTTAATTAAAGGTACAACTTAAATAAACAGTTCCTTGTCTTTTTTTTTTTTGTCATATAATTCTGATACTTTGAATTCCAAAAGACTAGCTAAGCTTCTTTGTTCAGAGTGCTGGGGGTGCATTCATTTATGGTTTTGTGACATGACAGGTTTAAGTTTCATCAAACCTTCATAAAAGAACTTTATTTATAAACACCTAAAAACAGAACTGAAATTTTATAAGAGAAAAATTATAAAGTAATCATCAAATAAAAAGAAAAATTTGAATACAAGGTGCAAGTAAGTCTTTAAATAATTTATATATAACAAAATCACATAAATTTATTTTGCTCAGCTGTTTCTCATTAACTAATTTGCAATCAAAAAATAATGGATGGTTATGTCTCTTGATATCTTTTAAGTTGAATTCTGAAAACTTATGAATAGCATTAATGTAGAAAAAATATGCACCAATCAGATACAAGCTAATATAAACTAAGTAGCGCTTATTTATTTTTGTCATAACTATTGGTTTTTTTGTCACAAATATTGGATATGCTTAATATTTAAACAAAACTGATTAATAAATATGGTTTGCTTAATACATTTGCTTAATTTACTAAAATGTTAACAATCTAAAGTTCCAAACAACAATTTTTCTATTGAACATGGTAACAATCTATCAATACTTATTTTATTTGCAAAGATCAATGCGTGGAAAATAGGTATTGGCATGCGTATGTTACAAAATAGTGTGTCTAGCATTGTGAGAAAATATTCTCAGACTGTCATAAGAATTTTTCTGTGTATGCATGCAATATACCAACAAAATTACAAAAAATTAATTTGTTTAACATTAAAATAGAAGACAAAAAAAAATAATTTGTTTGTAGGTTCTTTTATCTATAATGTTCTGGGACAACAAGGTTCAGCTGTTGCATGTTCTTGTATGCCTAGTTCTACAAACCAAGTTGAGTTGAACTCTCTGAAAAACCTACCTAACTTATCTCAAACATAATTTTATGTATCAAAGAGAACAATACAATCATTGGAAACTGCTAACATTATAATCTTGTGTGAAGAGAAACAAAGTGCGAAGAGAAACTTAAGAGAACTAGGTAAGTTTTGCGATTTAATTTTTTTTACTTTGTTCCTGTCTTTATCTCAGAATAAAGATGCGATTATGAATTAAGTCACAAAAACCTTAGAAACGATTATGAATTAAGTCACAAAAACCTAATTTTTTTTGCCTAAATCTAAAAGATTAAGGTTAGGAAAATATACCTGACCTCATTTTTCCTAATTCCTTTGGTTACAGGTACATGTTGGGAGTTATTGTGTTTAACTCCCAACATGTACCTGTATATACTAATATACAGGTACATGTTGAATACGTTATTGATTGTGGTATAGCAAAAAAAATATTTTACAATCAATAACGATCTACTTTATTGGTTACTCAATAGTAGTTTTAATTATTTAGTTGAATGTCATAAGATTTTGAACAAAATTTTTGACAAATTTTAAAGATGCTTTTGATGACTTTATAACATTAAAAATTTATAAATGTTAATTAATAAAATAATAATTATTAAATTTTTTTAAAATTCGATATTCTTTAATTTAATAAATATGATTTTTTTTGCAGAAACATTAAACAATTATTTTAGAATCTATTGAAAAAAAAGTTAAACATATATGTAAAGTGATTTCAAATGAGTTAAAAGAATGGAAATGTTTTTTCAACCCCAGTATATATGATCCTATATTTACAGTTTGACCATGGCTTATAGACTTGATTGGTTTGAAAATTCAGAGTTTTACACAACAAAAACTAATTCAAGATAAAACTGTGATCATTTAACATTGACTACGCAAAACAAAATAGTATACAGATGAAATAAACTGTGTTTAGTTTTGTAATAGTGAGTTTATAAAGTTTTTACAAGGTTTTAAAAAGATGCCGACTTGAAAACTGTTTTGAATTTATTGTTGAAGATATGAGTACTTTTAAAAAACAAAAATTTTAATTTTCCATTTTAAAAAGTTATCACACCTTCTGCAATAAGTAGAAGTCAGCGCCCACCTTCACACCTGTGTAGGTCAATTTACACTAGCAAAATAAAGCCCACGCAAAATATAAACTTTATGGTAAATATGTTAAATATGTTAAAGTTATTTATTTAGTTATTTTTTCAAAAGTTCTCACATATGTAATTTCAACAAGAATGGAAAACTTCAAATTTAAAAAAGTTTCTTTAAATTAAAAAAACAAACAAAAAACACAGTGCACAGTATTTAAACCAATACCGAAATGTAAAATTGTCTCAAACAACTTTCCTTTATTTACTTTAGTCAGTTGTAAATTTATTTTTTTACAAATATTCTTATTGGTTGATTCAAGAGTTGATTCATAGTTATTTATGACTTGCTTCCTTTGTTTGTGGCTCTATCATAGAGCCACAAATATAAAGTCATGTCATAGAGTCTATGGCTTAATTTAAGTAAAAAAACTTATTAAAATAGTTAAAAATGTTAAATTTAGTTATGGATCTTACATTATTATAATACAATAAAGATAACTTTATTCTTTTATGTTAACATTATATTTCAATAAAGAAACATTTCTTTATATAAATATTAGTGAATTACCTGTTTAAATATAATTTGACATTAAGAACTTTTCTAGAGTGTCAAGAAGTTTATAACACAATGTTCAGTTATTCAATTAGCTCATTCAGATTTTAAAGAGTAAACTAAATAAATCAACTTTCAACTTCATTTACTACAGATCATCATAATTTGCAGTATTTGAATTTAACATCAGATGATCATGTTAGGTAAAGTTTAGATATTAGAGTTCGCTTTTGTTCTGCAATAAATTAAACATTATATTATTTACATGCATAGTTAAATATTAATTTATCTTCAAGCATTGTAAATGTATAAACAATGAGTACAGAAGCCATACAAATTATTATTACAATAGTTTCATAAGTTTTTTTACTAAACTTAATTACAAAAACACCAAATATTATGAGGATTATATAACGTTGAAAACTTTGCGTGCTTGATTTATTTTTTTATTTTTGTGTCAATAGGTTACACAATTGATATTAACAAAGCTTCCAAACCCAGCTAAGTCTATAACTACGAATTCACATTAGGATGATTATTCAAAGATAAGTGAAAACAAGGGGTAAAATTATGGAAAACAATGCAACTGATAATTTGTTTTATTGCTTTTTAAACAATTGAAAAAAACAACAACATCAAAATAAGCTATTTTAACAATTTATAAAATAGACGTAACAAAGTAAACAAACTTGAACAATTTTTAAAATAGGTGCATGAGATTTTTAATTAAATAGACTTTGTCAAAACGGGTTTTTTGCGACTAGTTCCTTTAATACTAAGCTCTTTAATATAAACCTTGAATTTTTTTTAGCATTTAGTTATTGGTTTGGAGCAACATGTAGGCTTATAAATTTGTAGTTAAACAGAAAATACGATTTAATCAAAATCGCGAAATATATCCAAAAGTAAAATTTTCGTTAATTCGCTGCGGTAAAAAAGAAGCCACTGTTACCTATTTACTAAATGAAAAGATATCTTTCAACAATTTAAACCTTCTTCTTAAACTTTTTTATAGAATTAATTTCGAGTGAAGTTTGTAAATAGTGAATCTTTTTAAAATTGTCTTGGTAAATGAACAAGCTAAATATAAGCAGCTCTTAATATATTTATATATATATATATATATATATATGTATATATATATATATATATATATATATATATATATATATATATATATATATATATATTTATATATATATATATATGTATATATATATATATATGTATATATATATATATATATATATATATATATATATATATATATATATATATATATATATATATATATATATATATATATATATATATATATATATATATATATATATATATATAGGGCCGTAGGGAGGGGGGAGGCACAGGGTAGCATGTGCTCCCCCACCCCACCCCGTCTTATTTGCGCCTTTCAAATGTTAGAATATTTACTTGAATAATAAAAATCAGAGTTGGTTAATAAAAATTAAAAAATTTGAATATTCATTTTATTATTATATTTATTATGTTATTTTAGTAAATATTTAGTAAATACAACTCGGGCGGGATAAATGGGTCACCGCTTTCTTAAAAATAAATTTGTTTAAACGTCTATTTAGCGTTTAAAAACATTTAGCTTGGGTGCTATTGGTTGTTTTTCCCGCGCTACGGTACTAAATCAATTATAACAAAATAAATTTTAGCGCTTTTAAAAAAAGTGCTCCTCCCTTTAAAATATTCTGGCTACGGGCCTGTATAATATTTTAAACAGTTTAACTATGACGTCCCTGGGTTTAAAACTATTGCAATTTCGTTAATGTTAATAAATTTTTAATGTTTATAAAGTTATTTTAAATCAAAGAATAGAAAACCCAAAACATTTTTTTGTAACTATTCTCTAAAACATCTTTGCAGAAAAACTTAGATGTACCCCTGCCTCTAACAAAGTATTTCTAATATATTATATATAATTTAAATGCATATAATTTAAATTAAAAATGTTAGTTCAGCTCGATTGCTGGCATACCTGAAACAAAGGAAATAATACTTTTCACTAAATCATTTGCAATTATGAAGTTTTAAAATAAGCATTAATAGCAGAAAAACATATAGTTCTTCACTTTTATTTCAACATTTAGTATTTCATTCCTTTTTTTATTTATTTTTTTAATAAAAATTGCCTACACTCATATTTTATAAAATAAAATTTTATAAAAAGACTTTAAATATTTACTGAAATCAATAATCAATTTATATTTTTTAACTTTAAAAAACACGATTAAGATTTTACCGATAAAAAATCTGTTCTTTATCTCAAATTCTTGTTCGAACGATTTAATTTTTTTAATATTTTGGTTCTTCCTCTCTTTTTTATCATAAAATGTTTGATAACAACATAATTTCCCGAAAAGCTTGCGACTCATGCTGCTTAACGAATGTTTTTAAATTAACAGCTGCTTATCTGTTTTAAACAAATTAATTTTAATTAAGGCAAAAATTTTAAATATTTTAAAATTAAGATAGAATAGAGATTAAAGCGTTTTTTTATATTCCTAAGAAAAAAGTCATCAATTCGTTTTAATTCTGTTTTTTTAGACGCATATCTGCATAAAATGCCAAACGCCAACTAATCAACTTGAATAGCGACCTTTTAAAAAATCAATCAATACTGATTTCAGTCAAAACTGTCACTGGGATTACCACATATATAAGACAATTTCATATATTTTTATATATATATACAGTTTGTGATTGTTATATACATATATATAACAATGTCAATGTCTTATATAAAAGTTGATGTTTAGTGGTGTCTAATTTACCATTAATAAAACCAAAGTGGAAATCTTCTCGCCTCCACTTTTTTTGCAGCAACTGCCGGCCAAAAATAACAACGTTGTATTTTGTCATTACTATTGACAAATACAACAATGTCGCAAAATATATTTTTCTACAAAAAATAATAACACTAAAAATTTTAAACATTTTTTACAGAAAAATCAAAATTTAGTATGATATTTTTACTGATGAGTTAAATTAAGTTAAAACATTGGTGCAAAAATCGTTTAAACCTACTTTAAACAAAGTAAAATTATTTTTGTTTAAAATTTTATTTAATTTTTGTTCTTTTTTCTTTTTAATGATGTTTTAAAAAATAAATTCTTTTTTGGAATTTATTTTTTTGATTATTGCAAATAATTTAACTTAAAAAAAAGTTAATAAATTAACTTTTTAATTAAAATTAATTTTGTTATTGTTAAAAAATAAAAATTTTAGCATGACTAATTGTAAACTTGTTAAGCTTACCAAACTTTAAATTCTTTATTTGTAATTATCTATAATTCACTTATAATTTTATTTGTCGAAATAAATTTATCGCCTATGGCATGGAAGTAAAATTTTGTTTTGAATATAAAACTTCTGATTTACTTAAGAGTGCTATAAAAAAAAAAAAAAAAAAAAAAAAAACGAAAACAAAAGCATTAAATCATCTTTTTAAATACTCAACGTTTTCCAATATAATATAAAAATATTTTCCAATATAATATAAAAAAGTGCAACTTTGATATTAACGTTTCAATATTCGCACTAAATTAATCTTTAAACTGCTTGTTAATTGAAAAAATTTTTTTGTCCTTTTTAACTGCGGGAGGCAAACATTCCAACTTTAATTTGGCGGCCGCTACCACTTGTAAGACAGAGCTTTTGAAACGGACTCTAAATAAACTTGTTTCCGAAATATTTTCTAGCTACATTTATTAATGATTTTCATCTCCCGATTGACGGCGGCTTCAGAAACATTCTGCCTCTAACAAAAAAAAACTTCGGCGGCCGTCAATTAGGAGATATTGGAAACTGCAGGCGACGCAAAAACAAAAAAATTTATATTCAAAAACAATAACTATATTGGGAAAGATCACGGTATATTAAATGTACGTTGTTAAAGATATAATCGTAATAAAGATATAAAGGTAGTTCGCTATTTTCAATCACGTTTAATCTGATATTTTTGCTTTTAAACATTTGCAATACATTTCTGCTAAATGTGTCGGAAGCGCATCACTCTATTATCTTAGCAAAACAAGTTAATTATCTTAAACAAGTAATCACTCTAATGCTATCTACAAGTAATCGTTCTAATACGAAATACTGCAACATTCAAATATATTTTCTGCTTTATAAAATGTCTTTATCTATTAATTCATTACGCAGACCAAGATCGTAAGCCTCAAGACAAAGGAGTAGCATTAAATAAATAAAAAATATATAAAAATAGCAATAAACTTATTTAAAACATACGAGATAACTAACTTTTTCTTAAAACATTAAATTTTAGATTTAATTAAACCTTAATAGTAATATTAAATCATTAATAAGTATTTCTTATTCTTTTCATTTCAGCAGGCGCAATAACGTTGCAATGCATTTTTTCAGCAAATTTTCCGTATTCCGACTTCCTAGTAAAACAACGGACCAAAATTTACATATTAAATGTAATATATTATTTATTAGATATAAAGTCAAAAACGCATGTTCGTTACATAAACGAAAAATTTAACCTTTTAGCGTATCATAAGCAGAAAGTTTTATTAAATAGCTTTATTTGACGATAGTTTACTTTGATAACAGTTTTTTTTTGTTATTTTGGCAATACTTATTATTAAAGAACGCAATGAAAGCAACATATATAGCATATTTTGTAAACGACTTGATTTAATCATTGAGCGTATACGTTATGCAGCATATCTATATCTTCTAAACTTCAGAGCGATAAATTGCTTACAAAATTTATGAAATGATGGACGAGCGAAGTTAAATAAAACATATAAAAAAGTTATGTAGCTCTAATAACAACAAATTTATGTTATTGTAGAATAAAGCGCTGTAAAATAAAATGGGTTATATAAAAAAAATATTTACCCATAAAAAATCCATTTTTTATCCCGAATGCTATTCCAAACGATCTAACTTTTTTAATATTTCGACTTTTTATTCGATCAAAAAAATGAACTCTACTACTCATTCTTTGTGAGTCCTTTTTTATCCCCCAAACACCTATATGTACTTTCAAATACCCCTATGTACTGAGTTTCAACAACGTGTAAAATTTAACAACTTGATAAATTCAAAATAAAAATTATGACAGGTGCACTTCGTATTAAAAGTCATATGATTGCCATGATTTCGAAAGCATTCAATCATAATTTAAAAAAAGAAGCGTCAATTTTTACTTGAATAAATTTTAAACTAATTGTTTACTTTTAAATTTTCAGTAATTAACGATTAAAAAATGTAAAATGGTTACCTTCATTTTTTGGTAGATTTCCTACTTTTGGTTTCTTCACTACTGGCTTTGAAAATGGTTTGTAAAAATATGATTTTGCTGAAAGAATACTTCCTTTTTCAGTTTTTTGGTTGCTTTTAACAGCTGTTGTAGGGTTTGGTTCTTTAGAAGATATCGACTTTTGGTCTTTGGGAAAAGAATTATCATTTGAATTTATTGATTTTTCACTATTAGAAAGATTTAGATCGATTGTATATTTGGAATCTATTTCATCGTTTTTCGGAGTAGAAACCTTGATAGGTATTTTTGACGTAATTGAATCACACCTTTGTTTTACAAAACTGTTTTTCTTATTTAAATGATTATCGTCGTTTACAACAGAAAACTTTCTTTCAATAAACCTCTCCAATTTTTCTTTATCAAAACTGTCAACCCTTGGAATGTCAAATGAAAGGGTTGACTGACTTTTATTGTTTAATAAAAATTCTTCTTGGTATTTTATCTTGTCTTCATCAAGCTCGTCAAACGAACCAACAAAAACTGCTTTTTTAGGTGAAGGAGTATCGTAAGAGGAAACTATAACGTTTCCATAGTTTTTTTTTAAAATTTCGTTATTATTTTTGGGAGAAGATGTTTCTACTGGACTGTTCCGAACAGGAGACTCTATACCTGAGTCGTTGCTGTTACGTGACATTGGTTGAGAAACTTCTTTTAAAGCATCAGAATCCAAACTAGTATCAAAATGAGAATCTCGGTAAAACTCTTTTTCTTTATTGTCTAATGGTTGTCTCAATGAAAAACTTTTTAACTTGAACATTTCTTCGTCGTCATTTATATTATCTACACTATAAGATATTTCGTCCTCTAAATTGTTCGCGCAAACGTTCGGAGTACTTTCAGCGTATTTAGGTATAATTTTTACTTTATGCAAACGTATAAAAATTCCGTGGTTTTCAGCGCACTCAAAGTATTTATATCCGTTTACAGTGCCGTTATTTTTACCGTTGCTTTCTTCAATTTCAAGCCCGCACCATACACCAGTGCTAAATTCTGTTTTTCCAATATACCGGACTGTTCCGCTGACGCGTTTTTTATCGTACAAAATTGTAATACTGTCGCCTATTTGAATATCTTCTGGTTGCAAATGCTTTCGTGGATTTCGTAAACGTTGTACAAACTTCGTTTTTGATAATGATAGCGTGCTTCCGTGATCTAATGTAGATGATTTCTAAATAAACTAATAATTATTAGTGATAGATAATAAAGTTATATCAATTAGTTTTTGGTAAATGCTATAACGACATATAAATTCCAACTCTCTTACACTCATATTCGTTATATAACTTTAAAAGAAATAAGTATTTAAAAACAACAACAGCAAACTTTTAGACACTAAACAGTATTTGAACTTACTTCTTTGTTAAACGTCTTTCTAAAGGAAAATTTTTTCAAAGAAAAGAAAGGATTCGATGCCATATTAAAATTTTTAGTGATACTTTGAAATCTTATCCTTGAAGTTTAATTACTGCATTTTATAGCTACCTATTTTGTAATCCATTTATCAAAAGATGACTTTAATGGTATGGACAGTGAAATATATTTCGTTATTATGACGTTTTCATTATTACAATAATAATAAATCAGTGGAATTTACTGTTAATGGAAAATACAGGTTTTATTATATCTGCTCATGAAATAAGCAAACAAAAGAATTTTAGTATGAGTTTTTACCTAAATTTGTTAAGAGAAACATTTTTTAAAAGTGTGCACTTTTAACTTATTTAAGTACTTGAGAAAATTGTTGCAGAACATATAAATTTATATTTATTCTAATCTAATTATTCTAATTTAAATATTAATTCTTGATAGGAATACTCAGCAGAGCATATGTAAAACAAGTCAGTATGTTTTTTTTTCTTAAATTGTTTTTCGCAGTCCTAAACTGCCGTCAAAGAACTGTGAACAGATTTGTACTTGTACAGTTTGGGATTTCAATGAAAAAGAAGGATAAGTTTTCTGAATTACTTTTGTTAAAATAATAATAATAAAAAAATTATAATAGTAATCATAGCAATAATAACAATAGTAATAATAAAAACAATAATAATAATAAAATAATAACAATAAGAATAATAATTATATATGCTATAACCATAAACTAATAAATCCAACGATAAAGTGTTTTTATTGGTTATATTATATTTATGTTGCAGGTAGATAACTTATTAGATAAAAATCAAACCAGATATAGAAAATTGCATTCAAAATAATGAGCTCTATTTTTGTCATATTCTTAAGATGTGTTTACTATTTTGTGTTATTTTTTAAAATTGATACTTTGTAGACTTAAATATCAACAATATTTTTAACTCTGAGGAAGATGTGTATAAAAAAATTAATTACTCGGCTGTAATACCTTCATGCTATAATACCTTCATGCTGTTTTTATTTTTAAGTAAATCTTTAACAACTTTATAAAACAAGGAGCAATTCATAGTTACATAAATAAAAGATTTGAAATAGATTTCACGCGTAGTGCGCATTATATTTAATCAATTTACTCGAGTATCTTACAACTTTATTGGCCGATGGAAGTACAACAACTGTTGCTCTGAACTGGTCGGAGACATTTTTTAGACGTTTCTATGCTATAAGCCAAAAATCCAATCGGGCATTAGTAATACTTTCGAAATTTATAAATTGTTTTCAAATTATATTTAGCCAAAACATAGCCAGCATATGACGTCAGCAGTTCGGAACTTGAAATATGTCGCTTACATGTCTGAAGATTTGATAACGCTTATTTTTACTTGTATGTCATATCGTATTATTTAGATGAAACTAATAAAAACATTTAACGATTTTAATAAATCATAATTATTTAAGTCTTAATTATTTTAGACTTGAGAAAAAAAAAAAAAAACATGCCAAGTTTTCCCGAGAGATAATGCGTAAATAAATTTGCTTCGAAATATAACTTGTGCAAAATTTAACGCAATTTTAGAATATTTTATATTACCTTATAAAAAATATTTTTTATTAGAAACAGAAAATATGTTCTAGTATTTTTAACTTCACTTAGTCAAAGGATATTTAATTTCCTTTTAAAAATTATTTTAATTAACCGCTACTAAAAAATTCTGTAATAGTTTAAAATATATATTTGAATATTACATATAAACAAACTTACCTAAAGTTTTATTATCAGCGAAACTTAACACAATATGTTAAAAAAACTTTAAACTAAAAACTTGTGTTTAAATATTAATTTAGCAACTGTATACAAGTTACGATATATATTGTCAACAAATAATTAAATTAAAAAAATGAGTTGAGAGCATTAAAAGCTTTTCTTTAATAAAAAAGTCACCTTTGCAGCAAAAACTGGTGTCTTTTCAAAATTGCCGGAAAAAAGTAAAGATTCAATTGTCATCTTGATTATTATTGATTTTAGCTATCCGCGTTAAAAAACATATCACATTTCAGAAGTAGTGCTAACAATAACATTCGGTATAAAACCCATTGAGCAAGTTTTTATGAATTCAACTGATATAATTATCTTAATTATGCGTTAAGTTATTGTTCTACTGACCAATAGAAATTTTTTTGCAATTTTCTTTCGAATGATTTGAATTTTTAAGTAACTTTTTAAAAAAGTATTCAAAATAATTTGTATAAATTTTATTTTTATGTAAACAAAGTACGTAATATTATTTGCTTTAAAAAGAAATAACTTCAGAAAGAAAAAAAAGATCGCAAACAAATAAGTTATGTTAGTTTCAATAGATTACCACAATTTGAACCGCAAATAAATAGAAATAGATAACTTATTAAGTTATCTGAGTAATGCGCCGATTAGTTTAAAAAGCACGTTTAAAAGTCCTTGTCTTCATCGAGTTTCTTTTTTACTTTATTAATGGAATCAAACAAATCGTACTCAAATATATATATTACAAATATTCTTATCTCAAATACATATTTAATTTAGCAATTAGCTAAATTATTTTTAAAAAGTATTAGAGATAAAAATTTAGTTAAACTAAATTTTTTTTAAATAGATAATACTACTATTAAACAAACGTTATTTAAAATACATTTTTATCTTCCCTACCCAACACAGACAAAAAGAAAAAGAAAAAAAGTTTACAAGTGATTTGAAATTAAAATAAATAATATTTTTCTCAATTTGAATGATATACAATTTATATGCCACATTTTATCATGCCATTTATTTTAGTTTGTTTAGCTCAAAGCACTTTTCTCGATTTCAAAAGCATACATTGTTAGGAAAGTTCCTTTATCAAACTCCTGGTCTGACGGTGTCCTTAAGTTCCACAAATATACAAAATTATCCTTTTATTTTCAAGAATACTTGCCCAAACCTAACCTTGCCCAAATCAAAACTTTAAAAAATTAAAAATTAAAAGTGAACTTTTTAATAACATTTTAATAACATTTTACCTGCTTTATATTATTCAGTCCGTGCAAAACCAGTTAAAAAAAAATCATTGTTGATGTAAAACAAGACAAAAATTTTATCTAATCAACATTCTGTTTGGTCATAATTTAAAAAAAAAATCACATACAAAAAAAATCACTAAAATTAAAAAAGCCTTATTTAAACAGTTACAATTGAGTTTTAACTTCATCAATCCTATAAACATATCAAGCATTAAAATTACTTATTTTCTAAGACAGAGGGGCGTTTTGCACAACTATACTGATTAATAAAATCTTCACTAGTCAAGTTGACTTCATAAATCTTTTTTGAAAACCATTGTAGAAATAAATTTTCGATCAAAATCAAATAAAAAAATTAATTGGCATGCAAAACCAGATAAAAAGTTTTTTCATTTTGTAATAAAAACAAGATCAAAAGAGCACGATTTTCAAATTTTTGTCTTCAACAACCTTTTAATGATACCTTTTCTATTTGCTGGAAAACATTTTTTGCCATTATTTCAGAACGAAAAATAAGTGAATTATCTGGTTTTGCAAGTCCAGTCCTCATATATGCCAGTTTGCTATCCCCGACAAATCCGAGTTAGCGGATGCTCAACTTAGTAATAAGGGAAATGCGAAAAGAAGAAAAAAAGTATTTTTTTTTTGTAGCATCTTAAAATATATCGAAATTCATCTTAACAATCAGTTTATCTAACTAAAAATTTTTATCGTTTAAAAATGGCGACCAAGGAAAGTTTAAAACTCCTCTATTTTTGAGGGGATTTTCAATTTTACGAGGACATAACTTTTGAACTTTAAAATATTTTTTTTTACTTAAAGAAAGTTCAACAGATTAGTTTTATTAGCGTTCACAACCATAATTTTTTTTTTAAATGCCCCCTCCTTTTACAAACATTGGCCCTTGGGGCCCTAACTTTTAAGTAATGTTGTTCCTATTATATTTCTATTTCAGTACGCTTAGACAGAGGCGATTCTACAAATACAAAAAAAAAATTCACCCGACTGAAATGTGTCAAATACTCGACTATATTCTTGAAAATCACCTTCTTTGGGGTGTCAAACCCCCACAAAGAAATTCACAGGTATGCTTAATAAGAGCATGCATTTTTGGTGATACTATTAGACCAAGTTTGACAAAAGCTTCTTTGTACTCGTTAAAAGTTGAGACATATTTATGTAACAAACTAGAACATACAACTTTAACAGATTTTAAACATTTAAAGAAATTAACTATAGAAAAGATATATATATCTTTTACACATTTGTGATTTAGCAGTTTTAAACATTCTCCACCTTTAAATTGACCGTCATGCAGCTTAGGCTTTTGAAAATCTAAAATTTGGTTCCACTGGTTTTGCAAATAAGTGGCCTCCATAGATTGTAAATATTTTTCATAATTATTATAAATTCTGTTTGTATTTCTACAAAGTATATGAAATTCCATTGGAGTAAGAATTCCAATAACTTTCAAGTCATCAGGCAGATCAACTAGTGAAAGATTAACCCAATTAATATAAGATGCAGCTGATAGCTTGGATTTTTTAATAAAAATAAAATTATATCGTTCGTTCATCAGCTGTATTTCTTTTAAATATAGCTTATGAACGAACACTTCCCAGAGTTCCTAGCTCACCATGAGTTTAATATTACATTTTTTCTTCGCTAATATTGCAACAAGAGCAAGAATGTGTTAATGCTGCAATTTCAATTCAAAAAAAATATCATATTAAAAGCATCAAAGTATTTTAAGTCATTTAAAATAACTTTCTCAAGATTCAAATAAGATTCAGCATTTTCTCCTAAGCCAATAATAAACAACTTGTTTACGCCTCCATCCTTTTATTTTTCATTGCCTATTTTTTCCTCAATCTTACAATGTCAGTCTTACTTATTCCTTCCTCGTAGCCAATCTTACAATAATATATTTTACAATAATATATTCATATAAACAGAAATAATTTATTTTTCAAATAAATTATTTCCGCCACTGTGTGTAACGCGCATTGTAAATGCACTAAAGATTTATATGGAGGCAGAACAGGGATTTTTTGGGTCCAACTTTGGGTCCGATCCGCGAATAAGAGGGGTATGAGAATAGTATTTTCTCTCTCTCGATTTTCTTTGATACGCCATTTATACAATTCAGTATATATATATAAAAAAGTGTTAAATTTATTGAAAAGTCTAATCATGTAACAAATCTAATGCATTATAACAAGGTTTGGCGGGCCTGTCCATATTTTCCATGCTCCTATGACGTAACGAACTCTTATGAGCAATAAATCTTTTCCCATCTGAAGCCAACTAAAAATGGGCACCATTTTCGAACCTAAAAATCACAAAAGTAATAAAATGAATATCTAATTAATAATAACGATTAAAAATTACTTATAAATTGTATTGATCTATTTTTGCTTATAAATTAACTAAACTAATACATTAAAAAAAAAAAAAAATCACCCACAGCTGAAATAATAAAAATTGATATTTTATAACACAATTGCAAATAAAATATGGTTTTATTTGCAATTGTTAAAGTTTGATAAAAAAAACAACCAAATCTGATACTGGATCCATCAGCTAATGTCTACTGCCTATCCTGCTATACTTAATGTCATTACTTTATTATCAAAATTTATATTTTAAGCTATAATATCTAATATTTATTATCTAAATAGTCAAAATAATTTGCTTTAAAAAAACATATTCTTTGTTCATAAACGATCATGTTTTTAGTAGGAAAATGTTGACAATAGATCATTTAGCTCTTTGAAGGCATGGATATTGGAAAATTGTTTTTGACATTGTAAATATAACTTTAAACTACCATAACAAAAAAGTCTTTGAGCAATAAGTAGATAATACTTTAGAACGTACAAAATCAATATTTTATTTTATTAACAGATACCGTTATGAAATATTTTATAAAAAAATTTAAAATTAATAAATAATTTAAATATAAATTCTATATAATTATATATAAATTAATATTATAAAGTTACTTATTACAACTATTTTATGAAAAATACTTTACGAAAGAGATTAAAATGATACAAATATAGAGTTAAAATATAAATTTAATATAACTGCAAAATAAAAGTAATATAAAAATATTATTCATAAGTTTGTATACGCATTAAACAAGTTTATCTGTTTCCAAAATTTTATTATTTGCTTACTTTTTGCTTTGATTCAGTTTATTTCAAATAATATTAATGTTATCTCAAATACTTTCTTGCATATTATTAATCAGAGTTAAATTTTTAAACAAAAGTGTTTATACTTTTTAAATTAGCAAGTTCAAGCTATTTTGGTCTACTTTTTGTTAATTTGATAATTGATTTCAAATAGAAATTTAATTCGATTGTACTAATAATTAATTACTAATTAATTACCATATTTATTACTCTATCATATTTGGTTTGTTCTCATTATTATTTATCAAAAAAAAAAAAGAGAAAAAAAACAAACAAATAATCAAATGCGATTTTACAAAAATTTCCGTAATTCGAGTTCAACATTTTTACCAAGGGGTCTTCCATAAAGGACGTCATTCAGAATTTAATTACTAACCAGAAGTAGAAGTTTATTGGTTCTCTTCCGCGGAGATTTTCATTGAATATTACTTTTAAAATCTCTGCGCACAAGAGCCAACATTCTCCTACTTCTTGTCATTAGTTAAACTTAAATTGACGTCCTTTATGGATGATCCCTAATACTTGTTTTACTTAATGACTTGCCCGTTTTTATGTATTTTATTAGCGGGAATTATAGGATATCCACCACAGCCTATTTATAAACAATAACATTTTAATAAAAACGTTTTGACTCACAAAACATTATTTAAAAATGTTCATTTTATTAATAATGTTTTGTGACATTGAACTATGCATTACTTTTTTTAATTGGACGTTTTAAATTTTAACTACCTTCTGCAGTATGCTAAAAGGTTTATAATATAGTCGTATTGTAGCTGTTTTTGTGCTGTACAACATTCAGTTATGTTATAAACTATATGTTATGGCAATATGTTTTATACATGTTATAAGCAAAATCCAGCAGACATTGTTAGGTATTCTAAAAATATAAGAAAACATAAAGTTGAATGCAAAGAAAACTCATTTGAAAACAATTTATTTGTCCTATAACAATGTATAGAATGTGTATGTTTATTTAATTTTGTTCATTATGAATACTATTTAGCTGTACTACACATCCCAGAATCCTGAATGGTAACCGATAATACTATTTTAATGCGCGTCGGACACCATTGATTTCTACGGTATATGTTTTATAAAAATCTTATAAAAAAAATAAAATTATATAAATATATAATTAACAGATAAATTTTATATAATTAATTATAATTCAAAATTATTATTATAAAATTATTAAGTATACCATTTAATAAAAAATCTTATATTAAAAAATCAAAATTTATATTAAAACAATCTTAAAGCAACTAACTATTAACAACTCCTTACCATAAAAATAGCAATTTGGTTACGAGGATCGCTAGCTCCGTAGGCTATAGTAACTCTTAGCAACAAATTAGCAAAATGATGATGAAAAAAGATAATTCAACTACCGCACAGTAGGTTAGAATTCACTTTTACTGGACAAAATTCATAACTAATTTAATATTAGGGCATAAGTACTAATATGATATCTGCGCTTTTTATGAAGGTATTATTTTTTATTTCGTTGCTATGAATACCTTTATTTTGCTTAACAACAACCTATTTTTGGTATTTGCAGATATTTTACGAGTGCTGTATTCACTAAATTTGTCATGAGTGTCAATATGAAATTACGCTTCTTTTAAAAGCGATAATGTATTTAGTTGCTATGGATATTTATATTGCTTATTTACCAGATACTTTACTTAGTTACAAAGGGGTAAATTGATTTTTGAATAAATTTTATCGGATTTTCGACCCACCTATTTTGAATAACAATTAAGTATTAAGGTAAATAATGTTTTAGCAATAATAAAAACAAAAAATAGTGCAAAAAAATATTGTCAATTTTAAATTACATCAAAAATTTATAAAACAATAATATTGTTTGAAGATTGTTTAAGTAAATGTAAAACATCTGAAGGAAATGTTTTATGATTTTTTCGGTGTGATGTTGACTCACACAGTGATGAAATAACAGGATCACTGGAAACTAAGAGTCTATTGATCAGATCAGTATTTGTTGCACTTCTGGATGTTTTTCCGCTGAAATTTTCGCACAAAGTATTGACACATGGACATGAAATTTTTTATGTCCATGTATCAATACTTTGTGCACAGGTTGAGCCATGTAATACCATGGATAAAGGGACACATATAGTTTAACAGTGTCAAAATAATAACCCTTGAATTTTAACTTTATTATTTCATAACCTGAAGAGAGTGTTACCAAGATAATATAAAATCTGAATATAAGGTTTTGATCAATACCCAGAAGTTCAGCTGTTTGTTCATATGCTGCAAAAGCACGCCTTGAAGTATTACCATCGTTGCTTGTTCCAGAATGCCCACTTTTAGGGAAATCAACAACAAATCCCATTTTGTTTATAAAATCAGTTGAGTCTTTTGCTTAGCTACAGATAACTTTTCTTTGTGTTCTTTAGATCTTGCTTGCCACTTTCTTGTTTTTTTTTTTATATATATGCAATGTACAAAATCATCTCAAAAAATTGAATTCGTGCATGGAGTCTGGAAAGACCATATTTGAACTCTCTGTTAGTATAATCAATATTAGGAATATCAAGAATATTCATCTTTTTTGACGAGACACCACACATTGAACAGCATTGGTATGAGTTTTTCCAGATAATATTGTTTGAACCTTTCCATTAATCATGGTAAGTTCAATAATACAATTCACTTCAATAGAAGATCCGCAAATTTCTAAAAAAATCATACCCAAGCTTTCTATCTCACTTTTAATGTACTGATCTTCTTCAAGCACAGATTCCTTGAATTCCGTTTTGTATGCAAATTTTATGTGTCTAAAATAGACTGTGGATGATAACTTTTAATTTTCTAAATAGACACCTTTTCGTTGCTGTTGTTATATCCAGTCAAATCCAATGGGATTAGGCATTTTAAACCTCTGGTAATATCAGGCTCTGATAAAACCTGCTTATAAATGCTTTGGCCAGTCGCATCATCAAAACCAACCTTACATGCAAGTGTCATTGTTTTTATTGCTTTTTTGTTCAATATCAAGTACCTCAGCACAGGTTCCTGAATTGCATAGATTCTTTACAAAGTATGAATCATTTAATCTTTTAAAGGAACTGAAGCTGAATAGTCCTCCACTGTTATATTTAGAGGATAACATTTCAATTTTGCATCCCTGACATCATTATAAGCGGGGTAGATGTTATATTCTTTCTCCAAGGCTCCACTTCTAATCAATTGATAGGAAGCTGTTGTTATATTGGCATCCATTATTAAAGCCAGTGTTTCATCTACTGAATATTTACTTACTTTATCGGTATTTGAAATATTTAAAATATTCTTGGGAATTTAACTAAGGGATTTAAAATTTTTCCAATTTTGTCCACCTTTCAGAACATTCAACATTCAGTTTATAAAGTTTAACTTAAACTGTTTAAACTTAAACTTTAAGTTGCAAACAAGAGTTAGTAACATTATTATTAACTAATTAACATTAGCAGTTTTTAAAAAAACTTTTAATGAGCAAGAGATATAAAATGTGCGAAAGTATTTCTTCTTTACCTTCAGAGATTCATTTCATTATTATTCAAAATTGTTATATGTAATTAATAACATAATCTCAACTGTACTTTTTTTCTCATTGAATCTTTTCTATTATTTTTGATGCAACTTTTCGTGCCATTTGCGAAGTCATTGCAATGAAATCAATTATTTTTAAATTAATTAAAAATTATAAATTGCCTGTTTGCGCTTTTAAAAAAAACATTAATTTTATTTAAAATTGCTATTATTAAAACATTTTTTTATTTTTCAAACCTTAGCTTTTTTTTGAATTTCTAAAGTAAAGTCATGAAGAACAGTTCAGGGTCATTAAAGCAAAAAAAAAAAAAAAAAGAGAAAAAGTTACTGGTTTTTATTAGCAAACTTTGACTATTAGAATAATTTTTTAATAAAAACTATTTTTTTATATGTTTTAATAAAATTAAAAGTATTAAAATTAATAATATCAAATTGTTGATAAAATATTTATTTATTTAGTAATTTAAATTTTTAAAAAATTTTAAAAAACAACATTAAAAAAAGAGAAGATAAAAACCAGGCTATATTATATCACAAATTAAATGCAACACCTTATTGAATTCAATCAAAAACGATCCAGACTTTCAAGATAAATGGCAAATCAAGACTCTGGAGAATCAAGAAACAAAGAAGAACCACAAGGGACTTATATCAAGCTTCATCAAGCCCAATAGTTCAAAAGCAACATCATTCAAAGACATCATTCAGTTTTGTTAATCTCATTAGTTCTAATTTAAAATTTCTACTTTTCAAACAATTAATTTTAAACACTGTATCATCACATGATAAATACACATTCCAACCAAAACAGAATGTCTCTGCAAAAAGCAATCAATTGTAGAATCAGAACTTACTACGTTGTAGCTTTAAAGAAATGCAAGATGCTTTCTCAAGGTGATAACTCAAAAATCAAAGATTTAGAAAAGGGAAAAATAAATATCATGGAAAAAAAAAGCAACTTGTGTATAGTTGTAAACGATAGATAGAATCACAAGAAAAGAAAACATTAGCTGAGACCAATTTTGAATTAAAAAAAGCAAAAAATAAACCAATAGAAATGATTTATTCAAGATACTTTTGAATTGATATTGGCTATCAATTCAAAAGCATCTTGAATAAGCATCTTGAATAAGTCTATTGATCTATTTTTTGCTTTTTTTTAATTCAAAATTGGTCAAATACGTCTATAGATGTTCTAATTAACTTTGCTGACTCTATGCATTGCTGTTGAAAAGCATTTTTAAAATATAAACTTTCCAACAAAATACTGAAAAAAATAACATCTTTTTTTTGAATATTTAAATTAGTTTATAAACTATAGACGATATTTGATAACTTTTTTTTACATCTTTCGATATGCATTGTGGGATCGATCTGAGGATAACAAATCAAAGTAGAAAATAAACATTGCGCTGAACATCTTTATCTAATAGGGTGACAATTTTAATATAATATTTAATATACAACTTAATAGACATCAAGGATTTACATTTTTTATTATTTTTAGATTGTAATGGAGCCAAACTGTATCAAAAACGAATATGGTGATTTACTGAAGGTTTTTATGAAGGAGTTTGCTAAGAAAGTATCGAAATTCGAAAAAAGCATTAATTTTTCTAAATAGAAATGTAGTGACCTTAGATATTTTTTAAAATTATCCAAGAACTATGATGGTTTTAGTAATTTAAATAAAGAAAAAGTATTAGAAAAAGTTATGTAAGTTTGGAACAAAATGGTGTCAAGTAATAATTCCTCCTCAAAAATTGTGTTGGATGATAATGGTCATTTATCAATACCAAAAGACCCAATCATACAGATTTCACTAAAAAAAATCCAAAGTTTCCAGACACATTATTACCACAATTTAATGATTATCTAAATAGTAATGATGCAGGAAAAGCATTTAAAGGAGGCAAAAGTCTTTTCAACTCAGGACATTTGTCTAATGTTATGTCACATACAATAAGCAATCGCTTACAATCAGATACTGTTTTATACGAGGTCTTTCTTTGCCAGAGCAGAAAATTTCACACCGTATGATGTTTGGATTCTTATTCATAAAGATTCAGGCAAAGTTATAACTGGAAATTGCTCCTGCCCAGCTGGGTATGTAATATTGTCTAAATTTTATTTTAAAACTTTCTTTTTTTTGATATTGGGATATAATATATATATATATATATATATATATATATATATATATATATATATATATATATATATATATATATATATATATATATATATATATAAAATAGGGGGAGGCGAGGTATTGATTTTATGACGTTCTTTTCAAGGAAGGGGGGGGGGGGAGGGTAAGAAGTATAGAAAAAATAGACAACCGGCAACAAAAGGGGAAGGGGGGGGGGTAAAATTTGTATCCATTTGACATTATAATTTTTTTATTTTTCATTTCAGTAACAAAAGAAACAAAATATTTCATTTTTTAAAATGTATTATAAAAAACCAAACAATTATATTACTATAAATAATCAAACTTATTATGCGTGTTAATAAATTGATAGTTGGTAGTTTATAGAGATACCAATGGAGGAGCTAAATTAGTTAAAGCGCTGCAAATTGTCAAAATGTTCTCAGGCTGGTTTTTTCTTTTTAAAGGATAAACACTTTGCAATACACGATATATTTTTATTCTGGAAATCGCTCTTTCCACATGAATAGGTGCCTTAGCAACATTAGAGGTTTTTGTGGTATTTCTTTTAGAGAGTTTTCTTTTATCTTTTAAAAAAGAAGGAATAACAAGCTGTGACCCCTTTTCAACTAGCAAATCACTAATATTAAATCCTTTGTCTGCCATTAAGGAATCACCTGGAAATATTTTATCCAAGATACCACATTTTTCAGTAATAAATCTATCTGATCCATTACCTTCATACGCCGATGAAACAAAAGAAACAGTACCAATGGGAGTTATACAAATTAAAACCTTCCAGATATTCTTGGATTTTTATGTTGAATAGGGCCTGAGTTTTTGTTAAACTAGGGTTCACTTTACGATTAATTCTGTGTTTTTGAATAGATTTTTGAATATAATAATGTAACTTTTATGCTTCATTATCAATGCGCTTATGAAGCCATTCAAAAAGTTTGTAATTCAGTATAAGTACAAACATATTTATCACTATGACATCACTATGACATCACTAAAGTTAAAAGATTTTTTTGTTTCAATATTGGAAAAAGAATGCATCAATTTTGAAATTTGATTTTTCTGTGAATTTATAATTCTTCTAAGGTCCTATACATTTTTATGCAAAGAAATACATTGGTTACACTTAAAAAAAGGTACACTCGTTGCACAATTATTGGTAGGTATAATATTTTCATAACAATGGTCACTAATGAAGGTAGTGGATATGATGTTCTCGTATTCTTCAAGTATCTCAAAACAATCTCAAACAATTTTTTTTTTTTTAACATGTAGACATACATACTGAAATTTATGCACGTGTATATATATATATATATATATATATATATATATATATATATATATATATATATATATATATATATATATATATGTAGACATACATACTGAAATTTATACATACATTTACACAGAGTCTGTGTCTCAGATGCATATATATGGTTTATAATATGTGTATGTATTTAATAAAATGCTTACTTTTTGGGTTTATTTTGACTATTTGCACAACCATATACAGCACAGTGATCATTTCTACCCATTTCACAACTGTATTAAATAAATATGTAACTAAAAACAACTAACTGCAGTTAAGTCTCTTGTAGTCTTTGTATCACTTATTTTTAAATCCCCAAACATATACCAGAATCCTTTGTGCGCTTAGCATTTTTAGAGTTATCAAATATCATCTATTGCACTATATAATACATTTTTAACATGATACTCATTACCATATCTCCTTACTAAGTTGCTTATTACCATACTCCCTTTCTAAGTTGCTAATTACCATACTTCTTTACTAAGTTGCTTAATATCATACTTACTAAGTTGCAAAAAACAATAAATACTAACTTGATACATTGTGTATTGCGGTCAAACCAAACAATAATGTGAGTAAAAAAAATATTTTAAAAGTCGCTATTAAGTTACTAATTGTTAGCAGGGATTAACTCAAAAATCAAAATATATTTTATTCATAGCAAATGATTTTTTTTTACATCATTATATTTTATGTTTTTAATATCATTGATGATTTATTAATTAGATTGTTTCAGTAGAATTTCACTTCACTGTATCTTGGATACAGTGAAGTGAACATCTGCACAACAAGCAATGGAAAAACCTGTGTGAAAAAAGTGATGTAGGAATGACAGACATAAGACAATACCTCAGTGAGGTAGTGTCTTATGTCTGTGTATTTTATTTTCACTGCCAGTGAGGTAACCTCACTGACAGATCACAATTAAATAGTAAGTGAAGAATAATTGGTGAAATTTTGGTAAGTAGCACATTCTGTTTCTAGAGTAAAGAATATTATGGCCACCTGGAACTCATTGTAGTCTAATACAACTTCAATAAGGTTCCCCAAAGATTGTAGAACCACTTTCTCCATGAAGTTCATGGATGATGGAAGGCGGCTTCCACATCTGCTGCTATGTTACATTAAAGAGTTCTATTTGCTCTTCATTAACCATTGTTGATATTTTTTTTTTAATGCATGATCTCTCTTTTTGTTCCAAAATGCCATTGCTAAAAGGTGGCATTTATTAGTTTTCATGCCTCCAAAATTCTATTTTACAACAACTATTATTCTTATTTTGATATCTATTATTTTTAGAACTTATCTTCACCTGAATTAGTGCATCTGCTGAAAGCTGTTGCAGTGGGCTGTAATGAAGGTGTTGTTGTTGTTAATGAAAGAACCCTTGCTTATTGAAGAATTTATGATTGTTGTGTATGTAGGTACATATAAGTAATGAAGTTATTAAAACTAGAAATAGTTGTATACCCTCTGTAAAACTATTTACTATTCGTAGATTAAAACTATTCACTAATTAAAACATAATGATTTGTATATTAAACTATTTACAATAGATTGAATATAAGGATTAGTAGATTAAATATGACACTTAATCAGCAGGTTATAATAAAAATTTAGTTTTTGTAACATCATTTAATAAATTGAAATTTGATATTTTGAATTTTGCATCAGTGCATCAAGGATGCAAAGTCCACATTCCTCATGCACTGATGCAAAATTCAACCTCACACATTCAAAGTTTTATAATCAATTAATGTTTAACTATCATTTGAATATTTTTAATATTTGTTATTTTAACAAAATACCTTCTATTTCTTGCCAATTTACTGCTTTTTCAGCTATGGGAATTCCTAAGTATTGAGCAGCATACAATAATTCGACATCAAAAGCCCTAAAATTAATCAAAATAATAAATGGAATTGTTAAAAAATTTGAAAATTCTTTAGAACTAATTTTAAATAAAAAAAGCCAATATGACTTTCTTTAACAATGAATAATAAGCAAACCTCAGGTTGCTGTAAGAAAGCTGCAAGAAAGCTGCAAGAAACTTATTTTAGATATTTAAAGTAAGAAAAACAAAACAAACCATCTTTCAACATGTAATGTGGAAAAAAGTGTGAGGGCTGCTTTCCTTGTCAACAACTTAAATCCACACTAAAAAAAATCCACACTAAAAAAAATCTACACTAAAAACGAAAAAAACTAACTTACAAATACACAAAAAAACTCAGTTAAAAATGCAAAAAATTTAATGCGTGAAACTGTAAGCATACCTGAGTGTCTTTGATACCTTTTACACATAAAACATATACAAGAAAATGAAAGCCATACATAAGAATGTTTCGGAACAGAGATCTCTATAGTAGAATATAGTAAAAAATTACTTCTAAAGTAAAAATAATAAATTAATATTTAAGATGTTGCTTAAAGCTTACTTCTGCTATAGCTTCTTCCTGCAAGTGAGCACGAGATCCAATTGATATAGCCATATTATTTTTTCCTCCATGCAGTTCATCTAACCCAGCTTCAACAATATCTAAGTCTGAAAACTTTGTTGCACCATCGGCATCAGCAAACAAGATCTTCGATCCTCTACTGCTAAAAACTCCCTAAAAATAAATAAGATACAAATAAAGAAAATAAAACTCTTTGATGCAGATCAGAGTTGAGTATTTACTTTTTTTTTAACTTTGAAACATAACAGAATGTTTTGTTTGCATCAAATGTAACTCTAACTAAGTTGATGTTAAGTTTTTATCTAAGAGACATTAAATACTGCATACAGCCAGCAGGTGGACTAAAAAACAACAATTTTCGAATATTGTCTTTCAATACCTCTAAATTTATTATAGAATACATTTAGAGGTAACGAATAACAATTTTCGAAAATTGTTAATAATAAGTAATAATAAATTGAAAATAATAAATAACACTGGAAGTAAAAAAATTTAGAAAATAAATTTTTTTTAGTGTTGCCTCTAAGAACCTTAAACATTACATTAACATCCCCAACATTTTGAAATAAAAGTTCTTTAAAAGTAGGTCAACCTAGTACTCAGTACTCAGAAGCAAAAATATATAAAAGTCTTGAAGTTAATAATTGCTTCACAGAAAAATTTTTGTTTTTGTTTTTATTGCATAAAAACATGGTTTTTATCTAAAAGTTAAAAAAAGTGCACTTTCACAATATTTTTTTATATGTTTTTTATAAAGAAACATTATTTTTGAGATTTTTATATAATTTTTGGGTTGAGGGGTGACCTACTTTTAAAGAACATTTTTTCAAAACATCAGGGACCCTATAAATGTTTAAGATTCTTATAGTTTACAAGCTATAATGTATGCGATGTAATATAGTTAGCTATAACGATATTTACAATATATGTAATTACCTATATGATTTCATTAACTAAACTGATATTTTTAAATTGTCACATTTTTAATATTTTTTGTTTGTATGCACTTGATAAGTTTTGTGTGTTTAAGAAGTTCATTATTGTGAAAGGAAGTTTTGATTTTTTTTTTAAACTACATTGGAAAATCGTGTTGAAATTTTCTTTTCTTAAACATGTTTCTATTAGACAGGTTATTGAAACCAAACAATTAGTTACAAATTAATAATTTAAGTTTGTTACAATTTTAATGTAAGTTATTAAAATAATATTCAATATTAGATATATTAAAATAATTTTAACATAAATAATATAAATTAGTTATATTAAAACAATATAATTAACTTTATTATTAGTCTGTATTGTTAATGATATGACTTATAAATCTATCCTACATGCTAGCATTAAACTTTATGCATATATGTTAAGATGGCCCTACAAAAATCATTTTTGAAAAATATTATTTTTTCAACTCACTTCAATTCCTTTACCCCCACCCCCTTTTTCTATGAAAAAAAAAAAAAAAGAATTCTTCTGAGATGTTTTATAAAATATGACTATTATATATGAAATTTTTATATAATTTTATATTACTTCATTTGAGACATAAATTGACATAATAATATAAGAATCAGATGTTTAATAATTTACCCCTAATAAAAGTTTTAGAAAATTTTTGAAACTTTATGTTAAAAGATATTTCTTGACATTTCTTTATGTTAATTCAACTACCCTCGGTCAAGAAGGCTACAAAAGTCAAGGAGACAACTTTAATTGTGGCTACAAACCTCTCTCAACTCTATAACTATAAAACAAGGCTGTTGCGCAGAGAAACAAGTTGATAAGGCTTATGCCTTAATGTTAAAAAAAGAGGACTTTTGCATTTATACTTACTAATCTTACTGCACCTCCTTTTCCCCTGTTCTTTTTTAAAGTCAATACACGAATCTTCTCAGATCCATATTTATTCACATATTGAAGAGCAACCTATAAATAATAATTATTACTGTTTTTCTTTTCAAAAGTCAATCAAAGTGCTGTAAAAAAATTAAACTAAACAAGAAGTTTCAAAAAAATAAATTTACTTGTGTTGTATTGTCTTTACTGCCATCATCAACAATGATAATTTCAAACGAAAACAAACTATCAGTATTCTATAAAAAAAAAATTAAAATATGTTTTAACTATCTAAAACTAAATAATCACAATAAAAAAAATAAAATAGTTCAAATACATTACCTGCCTTTTACATAAATATTCTAAAGCCGCATCCAACATAATTGGCACTAAATAAATTGTTACATATATCTTAAGGTTTTATCATAAAAACAAATGGTAGTTTATTACAATGCACTTAGATTAATTAACTTACGATAAAAAATAAAGCTGCTATAGTAAATCAGTCAATAAACTCACGCCTCCCCCATAAATTGTGCAAATGTGAAAAAAAAAATATATATGTTTGTTTATAAATATAGTTGTTTGTTTCTTTCATTAGTATTCTGAAAACAATAAAATAAGATCACTTTATTATTTGGAAATGTTTACGAGACATGAATCAGACACTTCAAAATTTTGATCAATGTATATCTGTAAACTAAATGATCGATGAATATCTATAAACCAATGTATTTAGATTGCATGCATGGCGGTTGTTTTGCTAGAATATTTATATTGAATAATATAAATATACTAGCAAAAAAGAGCATTTAAAACGATTCGTGGGAGCTAGGTATATTAAGTATGTTAAATTTATCTACCAATATGTTACAAATTTCTAGTAGAAATTTTATGAACTAAAAAAAGAAAATAAACAACATATCTTTAAAATAAACATAATAATCTGAAATACATTTTTGTATATATATATATACACACAAAAATATGTACATTTAATAAACTTAATTAATAATTACTTATATTATATACTACTATCATGACTGTTCCAACATTGTAAAATTATTAAAAACTTGGATCTTAAAGCTGGACCGTGAAATGAAATCTTTGGGTTTATTTAGGCCCATTGGATTACAGTTTATGCTTAATGTTGTCAGTTTCCTGTAAGATTAGCACACATTATTTTCTTTTTTTAAACACCTTCCCTTCCAATAAGGCTGCAAGCAACCACTATTAGAGTTGGAAGTTATTGGAAGGGGAAGTTTATAAAGCAAGATATCAATTAAACAGACGACTTGAAAGATTGCAAATTATATGAATCAGGAAAACAAGACGAAGAGAATGAATTCCAAAGAACTGATGTTTGAGGGGAAAAACTAGACAAATAAACTTTTTTGAAGCACTTAGGAACAGTAACAGTAAAAAGATAAGACTTAATTGAATGATGAGTAACACAAGAATGAATTTTAGTAGATGGCAACAGTGACACAAGCTTTTTAAAGTAGCACCCATTATAGTATTTATAGAAAAGAGAAAGAGAAGCAGCATTACAATGATGTGACAATGGTTGACGGTTGGCTGCAAAAGCAGGTCAAAGTGCATCATTCAAAGATCTGCTCCAGATATGGCAACAGTATTTCATACAATGACAGATATGAGATTTATAGAGATAAAGATTAGAATCCGGATTAAGAAAGTGACGGCTAGGGTAAAGAAATGAAACCTTAGCAGATGCTAATTTTTCAATGGAGCTCATCTTTCATTTAAGATCGCTATCTTTTGCAAACAATGCCACTATAGACGTGAGAATTTCTGGGAAATCATTAACTAGTTTTTGACGCTACTAATGATGGCCAAGAAAGCATTTTAATAATTTGAAGATAATATTGCAATGTTTTTGCACGCATTTATTGATAAAGCTAAATGTTACTTTTCAATACTTTTTCAACTTCTAGATATCTTAAAGTGTATAGATAAGATTAAACCTTAAACTGTATAGAAAAAGAGCATAAATAATTATATAACAATATACTTTTAGATATTTTATAACAAATAATAAACTAAATCTTTATCTGTATAGATAAAGAAAGTTTTTTCTGTTAAAGAAAAAGATATTTGTTAAAGAACAAAACTATTTGTTAAAGAACAAAACCATTTGTTGAAGAACAAAACCATTTGTTAAAGAACTAAACTATTTGTTAAAGAACAAAACTATTTGTTAAAGAACAAAACTATTTGTTAAAGATCAAAACTATTTGTTAAAGAACAAAACTATTTGTTAAAGAACAAAACCATTTGTTAAAGAAAAAAACCATTTGTTAAAGAACAAAACTATTTGTTAAAGATCAAAACTATTTGTTAAAGAACAAAACTATATGTTAAAGAACTAAACTATTTGTTAAAGAACAAAACCATTTGTTAAAGAACAAAACTATTTGTTAAAGAACTAAACTATTTGTTAAAGAACAAAACCATTTGTTAAAGAACAAAACTATTTGTTAAAGAACAAAACTATTTGTTAAAGAACAAAACTATTTGTTAAAGAACAAAACCATTTGTTAAAGATCAAAACTATTTGTTAAAGAACAAAACTATTTGTTAAAGAACAAAACTATTTGTTAAAGAACAAAACTTTTTGTTAAGAACAAAACTGTTTGTTAAAGAACAAAACTATTTGTTAAAGAACAAAACAATTTGTTAAAGAACAAAACCATTTGTTAAAGAACAAAACTATTTGTTAAAGAACAAAACTATTTGTTAAAGAACAAAACTATTTGTTAAAGAACAAAACTATTTGTTAAAGAGCAAAACTATTTGTTAAAGAACTAAACTATTTGTTAAAGAACTAAAATATTTGTTAAGAACAAAACTATTTGTTAAAGAACAAAACTATTTGTTAAAGAACAAAACTATTTGTTAAAGAACAAAACTATTTGTTAAAGAACAAAACCATTTGTTAAAGAACAAAACTATTTGTTAAAGAACAAAACTATTTGTTAAAGAACAAAACTATTAAACAGTTTAAAAATTCAGTTTACTGTGATCATTAAAACTTTTTCCTTGGGAATTAATTATCATATTCATCACCATTTTATTTTAGAAAAACCAGTTTTATCTAGTTTTCATAGTAACTATGAGCAACTATTAAGTTTTCATAGTACTAAGTTTCCATAGAAACTACTTAAAATTGAAGGATTTTATATTTTTTTTATAAATTTAAAATTTTATACTTTTTCTAATACTTATATTCTTTTCGAGACACATTTAAAAATTCGTTTTATTAATATATTCTTTTGCTTTTTATAACACTTAAGGTATACTGTTAAATTTACAGTTAAATAAACAGATTAGTATGTCTGTCTTTTTTTTATAAATAATATATTAATTTTATCATATTTTAAAATTCTTTTTTAGAATTATAAAAGTTCATTCTTTTAAGATGTCAGATAATAAATCGTTTTAACCATATATATTTTATTTAATCCTATTTTGTAAATGATTGTGTTAAAAATCTAAACAGGCTATTATTATTTTTAGAAGTTAAAGCTCATTTTGAATATTGTTGAGCCTATTTTTTAACATTGTTTGATATTATGTTAATTTAAACTTTGTTTTAATTTTTGTCATTTATGTTTTGATTATTTTTTTATTTTTGACTTGTTATGGAAAGAAACACAGGAATTTTAGTACCAGATTATTATTGCACTGACTGTGATGTACTGATCGGATTGACAGAGGATGATGACAGAGGAATTTCTTTAATGTTTAAATCATTTAATCCTACTTTATAAACAATTATGTTAAAAAATCTAAACAGTTAAACATGTAAAATCTAAGTCTGTTATTATTTGAAGTTAAAGATTAAAAAATCTAAGTCTGTTATTATTTGAAGTTAAAGATTTAAATTAGTTAATTAGATTAAAGAATTAGAGAATATTGTTGGTTTTACTTTATAACATTGTTTGATAATATATTAATTTAGATTAACTTATTTTTTAAAACAATATGATTTAATGTTGTGCAGACATTAAATCATATTGTTCACCCAATGGCACCAGACATAGTCATCCTATAATAAAGTTTTTATTACAACTTTAATGACCTTAATTTTAACTCCAAAATTAATTTTAATGACTTTATTTTTCAACTCCAAAATTAACTGTAGAAATATGTTTGCTTTAATAACATTTTATCTACTTTATTTTTGTCTCACAAATTTTTTTACAATATAGATATTTTGAGGTAATCCACATTAGGCCAGATTTTAGCAAAAATAGATAACATCTAAATATAGTCACATTATACATCTAGTCAAACATTTTTTGGGATTCCATTTCTGACATCAAAATAGAGTCTTAACCAATCTGATCAGTGCGCTATACAGCAAAGCAATTTGGATTTTTTTTTATATTGCAGATTTATTTTACTAACTTATGATGAGGACATTAAGTTATTCACCTATTGTCCTCACAATAAGTTTATTAACTGTTTAAACACTTAATTTAAACTCATAGAATGTTTATGAGTTTATTACATTTCTAATTTGTCTAATAATAATCTAATAATAATCTAATAATAATCCAATAATAACCTAATTTCTATGAATTAATATCTTTCTAAGAAAGGTATAGAACTTTATCTAATAATATCTTAGATTTTTCCTAATGCTTTTATTAACTCTCTGTCTGTTTGTCTGTGAGTATCAAATCTTACAATCAATTTTTGAGTCACTTTCTGATGATAAATTTATTTCAAATTTTGCATACATAAGTTTCGAGACCCGCCTCTTCCTGAATTTTTTTTTGTTTTTTTACACAGCCGTACAGCCGAATGTTTATAAAATAAAATAGTAATATCTGAAAAAATTTATTGCAATATTTGTGTTTTAATAATATATGAAAGCATTGTGTTTAAAAAAATCGTTTTTAAATTTACTTGTTAGAGTTATGACCATGTAAAAGTTTCCATCTATTACAATATGGCATTAACTTTTAACTCTAAATTATTATTCCAAAAATGAAAACCTGCCAAGTTAAATTTAGTATAAAATAGTAAAATAAAAAAATTTAAAAAAAATTCATTAACTCATTGATTTCACCTTTGGGGTAAGGGGGCCAACTTTTTAGGGTATTTTTGTTTTCAGACTCTAATCACCCAAAATATTGGATTATAATCCAATATTTGGATTATAATCCAATATTTTGGATTTGGATTATAATCCAATATTTAAATTATAAAATATAAAAATCAACCTTTATTAAAGAAACTTTTATTAAAATTGATAAAATGTACATTTTGCAATACACAAATTGCATACATCTAATTATTTTTCTAAAAATAACTTTATATGAAATAGAAGTATTAAAAAAAGCTAGATCTGTACACCACC